TATGGTAATCAAGTTATTCAAAAAAGATACAGTTAAAATAACAGAATGCACCGAAAGATTAGTTAATTTATCAGAATCAGAAGAGGACCAAAAATCAATCATTATGCAATATCATGAGGGTAAAACTTGTCACCGTGGCATTAATGAAACTCTAGCTAAAATAAAACGACACTATTGGTGGCCGAATATGAAAGATACCGTTACAGCAATAATAAATTCTTGCGAAGCATGTAAGAAAATGAAATATGATAGGAAACCTATAAAACCACATATACAGTTAACACAAAATCAAGATACTCCTTTTCAAGAAGCTTTTATGGACTTACTATTCATAGAAGGACAATACTACTTAACTATTGTAGACGCTTTTAGCAAGTTGGGACAAGCTATCGACGTACCTAATAGGAGTACACCGGAAATTGTAAAAGCATTAATTAAATACTTTAGCATGTATGGATTACCAAAAAAAATTAATTGCGATTCAGGAACAGAATTTAATAATACTTTAATCAAAGAGTTATTAAGCTTATACAAAATTGAATTACACATAGGGACCCCGAATAACCCTAACTCAATGGCAATAGTTGAGAGGTTTCACTCTACCATAATTGAAATTTATCGTTTAGCAAAATATGACAAAAGTGACCAGGATGCGTCAACTATCATGACATATTCGATTATGGCTTATAATAACACTATACATTCTGCAACAAATTTTACACCATTTGAGATACTATTTGGACATACCGATTCAGGAAACATATTTAATATAGAAAGAGAAAGAAATCTTACACAAAAGCTGCTATTAGATCATAGAAAACGTCTTAAAATACTTTACGAATTTATCACTGAAAAACTAGGTACAGATAAAATAAAAGTCCGGGAAAAGAAAGGAGGTGAAGAACCCCCTACGTTTAATACAGGAGACGATATATTTATGAAAAATACACGAACTAGGAAAGCTAAGGAAAAACCTCGTTACGAAAAAGCGAAAATAACCGGGAAAATTGAGCATAACATTATTCCAGTAGAATTAAATAAAAGACCCACTAGAGTAGCTATAAAGAACGTTAAACGACCTCCACAGATCGTGCCTGGTACTCATGGTACTGATGAAGATAACGGAGCCGCTGGACCTTCAAAACCTTGGTCAGAACCCGGGGATAACAGCACTAAAGATGGGAGTAGCAGTGAAGAAGAGTAGTTATTGGACTATTTTTAAAACTTTTGATTTAGATTCCATAGGATTACAGTTAGATAATAATTTACAGGATTTTAGTGATTTAAATAATGTCATACACGTAAATAATTTAGATAATGATTTTGTAGGAATTAAGACGCAAATAGAATATTTAAGTAAACTAAGCCAGGATAGATTATCTCAGATTTCACCATTAAGGAATCGCAACAAACGAGCAATTCTTAGCTCTTTAGGATCCTTAGTGAAAATTATCTCTGGTAATTTAGACGAGAATGATGCAATTAAGTATAACAATGAGATTTCAATATTACAGAATAGAGAACATGCAGTTGAACGTAAGGTATCTGCAATACAAAAAGCTTTTAATAAATTAATAAATACATCAGATATTATTAACTCTAACTTCAAAAAAATAGGGTTAAAAACTAATGAAATAGATGAACTTTTAAGCAACGAAACTAGATTTAATAAGATATTACATTTCACCAATTCTATGTACCAGATTCTAAGCAACTTTCGCACTTGCTATGAAAATATTCAAGAAATAGAAACTGCTATAGCTTTCAGTAAATTAAATATTTTACACCAATCTATTATTAGTAACAGCGAATTGTTTAATGCTCTGTCCATGATCAGTAAACAGGCAAAAACTATCTATCCAGTGGCTAAGGATAATTTAGTGAAATTAGAACATAATATCGTAGTTAACTCGTCGAGTACCGGTTTTATAGACACAATTAAAGAACAATAGGTCGCGGTCACCGGTGACCGCTTGGTATTTGACAGTTTAAATCATATTTAGATAGAAATAAGTTAATTTTTGTTTTAGAAGTCCCTCTAATAGACGCCGATACGTATAATTATTACAAGGTTGTTCCCATTCCTATATCTAAATCCTTAAATACCTTTACCATAATTCCAAAACATCCTTATCTAATGGTGAATCGATTACAATACATGCCCGTAGCTAATCCTTGCGAAGAAATAGAGAAGAACAAATTCTTATGCTCTGAAGACAACTTGGTCCAGTATCCAGCAGAATCCTGCATCGAACAAATTATGTTGATGAAAAATAACTACAGTCGATGTGTCCAGACCCATATCAAAATTGAAAAGTTGAAAATACAAAGATTAACTGAACATCAGTGGCTAGTTTATACAGAAGATAATATCATCATCACCGAAAACTGTAATGAAGAACTTCGTAAACACAGAATTCTCGGCACATACATCATAACGCCAAGTCAGATGTGCGAGACCCAAGTGGGGGAAACATTTATCCATGCTGCCTCCAACATGACAACTTACAGTCTACGCGAACCTCTTGTCGAGATGCCAGAACTACAACAAAACCTGGAAAGAAGAACCAAGAAACTAGACCTAAGAAACGTGGATTTCAGTGACGTCAAGGAACTAATACAAAGTGCAAAATTAAGTGACATGGACTTTGACAATAATGGACAGTTAGTGACAGTGCAAGTTAGCATTTGGACAATTTTCTTATATATTACTATTATTATTGTAATAACAATATTTCTTGTTCTAAAATTTCGAAATGTAATTTTTTGCCGAAATTCTCTGAAGTCTCCTTCAGCAACTCCAGATAATTTCTCTCTTGAGGAGGGAGGAGTTAAGGAACCCCAATATACACATATTAGCTTCGTAAGCAAGAATAAAGTAACTAAATAATGACTTTTTATCTAGGTCATACATTATTACGAAATTACTGAATTAGCAGATAATTAGTATATAAGAAATCAATATTGTATTAAATTTAGATTATTCTTGTTGTAACTCTGTTCAAATAAATATATATTTTTAATTTCAACGTTGTCAGTCACTTAAATAGCGCGCTCGGCGCTCTGATTGGCCTGCACCAGTGCACCAACCAATCAGAGCGGCGAATGCGCTTGCTTGCGCGTGCTTGGCACTCTGCTGCTACAGTGCAACGCCTATTGCGGCACATACCTAGGGAAACGAGTGTCTCCCTTGAACCTCGCTGTGCACGGCAACACGTGACCACCGTGCCACTGTCTTCCCTGAGGCCACTGAGTGGGCATCTAGAGTCTCAACTCTAGCACCCGTGCGATTCCCAAGCAGTAATTGATAAATGAGGGGATTGGCATGATGATGATTACCGAGTTAAACTAAAGCCAAAAAAAAGCTAAACAAGAACAAGAGCCCACTCTAGAATCACCTCCAGTGTCGTGGATGCATTTACAAACATACACAAAAACAATTTTTTACCACCATTATTATTAATATTTACCACGTTCGGTTGTTTCGAGTTCGCATCTTTCGGTATTTTTGAGTTCGAATCTTTCGGTATTTTCGAGTTCGCATCTTTCGATTTTTCGGAATCGGATCGGAATTTCGGAACAAATTGGTTAGAAAGAAAGAAGTTTGTTTGGTCTGCTGGTAAACATGGTTGCTGAATGATTTCGACTCCCCACTGCCGAAAGGGAAGCTCTAAACAAATAGACATGGAGAATTAAACGCCGACTTTTGAAGGTGGAAAATGATCGAATTACTCGTTCCTCCTCGAGGCGAAGCGAGTGGAAGTATCAGCCTCTTACTGACTATACACCCCATTCCTATTGCTGCTTCAAGCAGGAGCTTTTTTTATTATTTTATTTTAGTAAGTTTTGTAATTAGTATAATGCGTCAAGCGTGTCTTTGCATTGTTCTCACATATACGTACAGTAAGTGGATAATGTATCAGAGACATTGTAGAACACAATTTTTAAAAAGAGTAATGAATGGAGTTTCTTTCTCGTTCTCAAGTTCTCTCGTTCTTCTCCATTCCAATCTACATTTTGGAATGAGCTCCTAGCTTCACCTAACTTCACTGACGGACTGACTGTCGCGTCATAAAAGGATAAAAAGTAGCTTATGTGACATATACCCATATACACAGCGCCATCTATACCAATACTTTTGTTTTCCCTCGGTAATACCAAATTTTTCCGGGAAAAAAGTACCCTATTAATTAATCCGGACTTCTAACTTTACGTCTGCAAAAATTCAAAGCAATCGATTTAGTAGTTACGGCGTGAAAGCGGAACAAACAAACAAACTCCCTTTCCGATTTATAATATAAGTAAGGAAGTACGGATTTGTTTACGTTTCAAAAGTACCAAATTATGGTTTAACTCGTTGAGTACCGTCATTATAGACACAATTATAGAACAATAGGTTGTGGTCACCGGTGACCGCTCGGTGTTTGACAGTTTAATTGAAATAAATGCTTTGACTTTGAGCTTGGATAACTCCTTTCGCTTTTCCACAGCTCGCTGAACAAGAGCTTGCAGGTTTGTTTCCAGGTCATGTAGTCATTATTAATTTTTGAAAAAATCTTAGTCATAAAACAGGGTATGGAACTGTGCATGTGACTACGGCAATAGCATACCTGGTAAAAAGGTGATTTTATATTTATGTGCATCTCTGCCTATTCCATTTTGATTTTAACCCGTCGAGCGTCCGCGTTCCTTATGATCCAACTAGTGCACACGTGACATTTGGAGAAAGAAAGAAAGAAAATGCATTTATTTGGCCATTGGCACACGAAAACAAGGATCATTACAATAGATATAAAACAAATACAGTCAAAATAAAAACAAAACATTAATAATAGATTTTATAAAAGAGAAAGCAGCATGGAGCATTTTTTCTTATGATCCACCGGGTGCTCATAAGGACGCTCGAGGGGTTAACATTTCAACCAACATATGATTGACAATTAAAAGCAAAGGTAACTAGTTAAGAGATGGTTTTAAGATTATGATTAAAATAAGCTTACCAATCCGCCAATCAGATCCATCTTCCCTCTTGGTTTGGCACAGAGATCCTGTTCATACTCCAGGAAGACTCGGAGATGGGAGTCGTTCCTGAACACTGGGTGAGCGGCCAGGCGCTGCAGGAATACTTCATGCATGGCCACCGTCTTCTTGAAGGTGGCTAGGTATTCGCTGTCAGGTGGAAAGGTACATAAAAATATTTTTAATTAGGTGTGCAGGATAATTTTGACTCTAAATGTATGCTAGTTAGATTAGTTTTGAAATGAATAGTTGGTATATGTCTTTAAAAATATTTGGGAATATGTTTTCCACGTTGGCAATCTCACTTTTCAGGTAGTGTCTAGAACCCCTATTTGGTTCGAAACTAGTAGAGCTTTGCTCAGAATATTCACGTGTGAGTATTCTGAGCAAAGTAACAAAGTAAAAAGCAAAGTAAACGAGTAACCCGCGATTTTTAGTTAATGAATCATATCGCAATTTTTTTTATGGCATTAGCCGGTAAACGAGCAGACGGATCACCTGATGGTAAGCAATCGGCGTCGCCCATGGACACCTGGAACACCAGAGGCGTTACAAGTACGTTACCGGCCTTTTGGGGAATTAGGAGTTTGAGGATCGTTGGGGATTCAGGAATTGGCGAGATTGGGGAAGGGGAGGGTAATTGGGCCTCCCGTAACCTTACTCACACGACGAAACACAACGCAAGTGTTGCTTCACGACGGTTTTCTGTGAGGCCGTGGTATCACTCCGGTCGAGCCGGCCCATTCGTGCCGATGCATGGCTCTACCACATTTAATTAAATTATGAATGAAGGTACGTTTATTTTCGAAAATTTCTATTGCATAGAATTACCTACTACAAATATTTTTAGTGGCAAAAAATTCCAAACTTACTCTTCCAATTCCTCCTTCATCTTGAGGAACTCCTCTCTAGTGAGTGCTCCCTCTCCCTCGCCGAGCCGTTGCAACTTCTCGCGAGATGCGTCGAAGTCCGGCCTAGGGGGCGCTGGTGGGATCTGATAATAAAATGTTTAATTTAAGCCTCGATGACACTGGGCTAGTCTTCAAGCTGCTAGTCGGCGAGATCTCGAGTAGCTTGTAAACTTGCTCTGTGTCATTTTTACAATCTGCTTTTAAATATCCGATTGTAAAAAAGCTGCTTGAAAAAATAGAAAGCCGGGCTAATGTACTAGCCATTCGCTGGCGTGTTGGCCTGTAAGCTAATCAACTAGCTGTGTGTCATCGTCGCTGCTAGTGAACTAGTTGCGAGCACCTTTTTGTGTTTTGAACTTTTTATATCATCACTAGCGACCCGCCGCGGCTTTGCACGGGTGCAATATGCATGTATTATACATATAAACCTTCCTTAAGAATCACTCTATCTATTAAAAAACCCGCATCAAAATCCGTTGCGTAGTTTTAAAGATCTAAGCAATTAAGCATACATATGGACAGACAGACGGCAGATAGCGACTTTGTTTTATACTACGTAGTGATTACTTTTCCAATCATTGCTAATAATATAAATTTGTATATGTCTGTTTGCGTTTCCGTCTTTCACTGAAGAACGGAGCTAAAAATTGACGTGAATTTTTTTTTTGAGTGGACTTAGTACTTTCCTACACTACTTTTGTCTTTATCTAAGTGAAACAAGTGAATTTAATTTTTCTGCAAATAGGCTACAAGGCAGCACTTTTACACGTCAATTTTATCAAGCGAACGATGAGGCCGACATTTCCGAACTGACTACTCTGAGAAGAAATGCCGAAACAAACTCAGAGGTCTAATTATTTCTATTTATTTATTTCGAATTTGTGAATTAAAGCTTAAAACTAATAACACAAGTAGTACAAACAGAGAAAAAAACAAGAAAAAAATCCACAAGAAAAAAAAACACAAGAAAAAAAAACAAGAAAAAAATACAAGAAAAAAAAAACACGGAGGTCCGTCTCTTTTAACATACTAAATACTCGCAGATACTCACAATATACCCCGCATACTCCTCGTTCTCTTCATATCTATCGTGTAACCACACAAACTCCTCATGTTGCCGCACAACTATGAACTCAGACTTCTGGAACTCCGGCAGTGTGGTCTTCGTGTGCACCGTAAACTTCACTTTTTCTTTCTCACTTAGAGCGTCTGATATGTCTACCTGTGGAAGTAAATATTATGGAGATTAATGTTTTTTTTTTTCTGTAACGTCTCTGGTTTTCTAGATGTCCATGGACGGTGTGTATAGCTTATCATTAGATGATTTATCTCCTCATTTACTAACTTATACATTGCTTATCACCAGGCAAAAAATGGTCAAAGGTCGGCCTATCAAATAAAAAAAAATGAAGTGTAAAGTGAAGGGGGTGTATCCTTCACTACATGTTTCAAAAGGTACCAAACAACTGAACAAAAGGTTCAATCCTAAATCAAAGTATTATTGGACATAACATAACATCACACCTTTTATCCTCGATGGGGTAGGCAGAGGTGCACATTATGCCACTGTACAATGTAACACCCACTTTTCACTATTTATGTTATGAGTTCCATGTAATACGGTGACTCATAACATAAATAGCAATAGGCATATATATATACCCTACTTAATAGGGTGTGAGCCTATTGCCATATACCGGGCACAATTCCAGACTCTGTGCTACTACTGAGGCTTTTAAAAACCCAGTATTATTGGAGTATTTTAGAAAACTCCTATGAAAACAGAAATTTCCCAAAGTAAAATGTGAAATGTGGGAGCTAAATTGCTATGCAATGTGATATGTGCACTAGGTATATAAGAATCATAGCAATTGGTAGTCCATAGTCTTTGCCTACTACCCTTGAGCGACAGGCGTGAGGTTATGTATGTGCCTTTTCAGGGATTAAATGGATGACCGAGCTATATTATGTTAAAACATCTATCTTACCAACAAGCTATTGTCAGCCAAGCTGACATTTTCATTGGGCTTCTTCTTCTCCAGCTTGGGGTCTACGGAGCCAGGGGTCTGAGCCACCGGAGCTGACAGGGGATCATGGTTGGTTTCTTCCACACAGTCCTGAAAAACAGAAACAATTGAATATTAACTTACTCATGTATATTGTTTTATTTGGTCTTTTGAAATGAACACTTAGATTTTTAGACACACTTATAAGTAAGCACTCTTTTCTATAATTTTGAAACTGCCTGTATTCAGATTATTTGATACAAATGCTTTGACTTGGTAAACCACATGATATGCTTTGTATATGGTAAACCACATATAGAGGTACTTCTTCTGTAGTTCTAGTACCAGTCTACTGTACAAAAAAGAATTTAATACAAGCTTTGCAATAATATAAACTTACTTTTTGTGCTGGGAACATTTTTTTAGTCCAATTAGTTTTTCTAATAACTTGGCAAAGGAGTATTCCTACTTAAATTACTTATTAGAAAAGAGGTTGAATGCTTATTGAACAATCCTAATAAGATTGTTAGAAAACATGGTAAAACTCATACAAAACCACCAACTAACTGATTTATCCTTCACACAATTATGAAAATTAAACTACGTGAAAGATTCAATTATCACGGACACAAAACATCAATAAAAACAAGGTCGCGTCTAGTATCTGAACGAAAAAAAAAACAAAAAGCTTAGTCCACGTCACACAGCCAATTAGCGAAAAACAAAATGAAATTAAACATATCTTACAAAGAAATGCACCACATAGTCTTTATCTTGAAGTAACTGAGTCATAACCTTTAGATATCAGACGAAATTAACAAATAATACACCAATTTTTGATCGCGGAGACGCCCCCCGGCAAAGTGCGAAAAACATGATTTACCTTAAAATATCAATATTATTACGGAAAAACTCACCATCATTTTGAATAACAAGCTAGCAGCTAGAGGTTGGATATATATAAATTGAATTTATTTCACTTTCTTCCTTAAAATCAACAATCAAATTGAGCTACAAGTTTCCCATACAATTTGACACAACAGGAAATTCAATGATGATTGTCAAAATTGATCCTGTCAATACTAGATGACAGTTTGCGTTATCTTTGACAGTAACAATAAGTGTTGCAAAGTATTTGGAATACTTTAAAACGGTAATATTTTCTGAATTTGATTTTGAAATGTAATATACGAATTTGTTCTAATGTTTGGATTCAAAAGCTGACAAAATTAAGTTTAGCGACAGCAAAATGCCGCCAGCAAAGCTCTATTGACCGTTCGTTGTTTGTCTTTTTAATTTAACAAAAACAATATTAAGTAAATTATTAGATAGCAGATAGGTATTAGCTAGGTACGTTTAATTAAATACCTATGTAAAGCCCCTTCAATACTCATTGGCATTTCTTCGTACTTGATATCAATTACAGACTGGACTACCTACACAAACAATAAGAACTAAATTTTGGACATGTAGAAAGGATGGATGAAAGTAGAGTAACGAAAGAAGTATACAGAGCGGATATGAATGGAGCCGTCGGTAGAGGGCGCCCTAGACGGACATGTAGGGACCAGATTGGCGATATATTAAAGAAGGGCCAAATTAAAAGTACCCTTAACCGACGAGCATGCATGAAAAGATTGACTGTTAATGAAGCAAAGAGGTATGTAAGAATCGTAGTAGTTGGCGTTCCTTAGTCTCTGCCTACCCCCATGGGAGACAGGCGTGAAGTTATGTATGTATGTATGTATAAAATGCTTTTGCAAAGCATTTTTATCATTTCAAGTTACATTTGAAATACGCATGGTCAAGTCATTTGTTATGTCGCATAAAAATATTATGATCTTGATTACTAACAATATATTATTTTTTATGTACTTTCAAAATCATCAAATCTTATCTGAAACTACAAATGTAAGGAAAAAAGAGATTCTGCGTAAATAAAGTATGAGGATATCACAACAATAACTCTCGTTTTCAATTATCAAATAAAAGATAGTTTTTCCTCTCTAGGTAAAATACAAGGTGTAGCCGGACCGGGATTTGCAAAGCGCATGCGAATTGAGAATCAGCTGGCTATACAACGATTTTTATACTTTAAAAATCGATAAAGTACGGCGTAGATATTTACAAAACGCATGCCAAAGTTTATCGATTTTCTTTTGACAGCAACTAGTATTTCAATGGAAAAAACTGTAACGAAACGGTAGAAATAAATACGTGATTTATTCATGTAAGCGATGAATTTCATTCTAATATAAACGTTATACAAAACTGTAGGTTCTTCTTGTTATTTTATAACTACAACGACTGCTTAAAAGAGACAGAAAGCTCAATATAAATCAGTAGCCTCGCACTATTAACAACCAATGGTGGTAATGTTCCAAGTGAGGCTGGTATCATTTTAGTAGTTTATAGAAATCGAAGATCTGTAATGGTAGTGCAAAAAGTAAATTGTTGTTTTTAATTTATTTACACAAACTACACAACTATAATTCACAAAATGGGGACGCAGAAGCCGGGAGAATGGGCGAATTCGTTAATTGCCCGTTTCGAAGAGCAAGTAAGTGTTAAAATGTATTTAATTTATTTTGTAAGACCCACCCATATATGGAGTTCTATAGGAAAGTAAACAAAAAAATATTTTTTTCTCGACATTACGTTCTTATTTTACATTAAATGATAGTTAAATGTATATCGTTATTATATTCCTATTTTTGTGTACATATTTTTCGGTAGTTATTGCGTATTTAAGTAATTTTTCATTAATATTATATTATTTTATTCAGATGAAGTTTATTCCAATTTATTGATCTACCCGGCATTATTATTTTAGTTTTTAGTGGCTTAATATAAATTTTTAATTTAATAGGATTTTTATGTATTTCTTGTAGGTATACAAGAAAAATAAAAAAATATTTTTTTTTTCAAGTAATGTGGGTAGGTACTCATTAGTAAGGTCAATAATTATGCTGATTATCTCTATTGCCATTCATTTATTCAAATAAAAAACTTAAATTAAAAACTAACTATTACTTAAAAAAATAAAAATAAATATTACTCAATTAAATATATACAACTTAAGATTAAAATTAATTAAGTGTAAGAAAAAACAAAAACAACTATTTACATAAAGCGTTGAAAAATTCGATTATTTCTTTTTTCTCTTTTGAAGAGAAAAAAAAAGTTTTTTTTACTTTTTCATGCACTCTAATATCAAAGAATAAATAAAAAATGAGGGCAAGTTAATCTATTCAAAAAGTTTTACTAAAATTAATACAACTTAAAATATAAATAATTTAAAACTAAAATAATTACCCAAAAAAAAAAATTAAAAATATATCATAAGGCATCAAAGAAAACAAAAAAAAAATTATTGTTATTAAAAAAAAATTAAGCACCTAATTTTGCTAGAAGCTTTGTGTACACATTCAAATTAAAGTGATGCAGATAAATTAACTCCACGGTTGGCATGGTGGCTGGGCAAGCGGTTGCCGTGCAACATGTATCGGATTCTATTCCTGCACTGATTCTAATTCTTTGCGATGTGATCCACAAATTATTGTTTCAAGTATAAGTGTTGTTTGTATGTGAACTTGTATATTTGTAAACGCACCCACGATGCAGGAGAATATGTGTGGGGTGTTGCCCCATATTTAATAAAAAAAATGAACAAAAATTAATACTTCAAAATAAACTAAAGTAACTAAAAATTGCCGGATACTCACATGAATAATATACTGACAAAAGCTCTACTAGTTTCGAGCCTCTGAGGGGCTTTTCCTTATGAGCAGCGTGTGCGGTCACGGCGATGTCGCGAAGCCTACTGGCTAGCGTCGGCGCTTGCGTTGGTGCAATCCTGCTTGCGACGATGTTAAAAAGCAAGGTACGTTCACACGTACCGTGCGTTTACTGGTGACAGTGCCGTGGGTAGTGCGTTCCGATTCCGGGTTCGGAAAAGCCCATTTGAGGCTCGAAATTAGTAGAGCTTTTCTTAGTATATTCAAGTGAGTAACCTGCGATTTTATGTTAAAAGATAAAAGTTAATTAATTCATTATTATAAAATGATATTTTTCATTCCCAGCTCCCCTACAAGACCGGTGCTCAGAACCTACACTCCCGCATCAACGAGGAACAGTGCAAGGCCTGCCTCGTCCAGATCAGCAAGCATCGCTTCTCTCTAGTCATATCTGGCCTCACTAAAATACTACAGAGGGTCAATGAGCTGGTGAGTCACCACCTTACCTATATTCTTTACTAGCTGACCGGACTAACTTCGCATAAAAATGTTTGTTTCTCACCTTTTAAACCTTCCCTGGACTTCCACGAACATTTCAAGACTAAAATTAGCCAAATCGGTTCAGCCGTTCTCGAGTTTTAGAGCGACTAACGAACGGGAATTCATTTTTAATTATGTAGATGTGGCAGATTCAAATGAGTTTGAGATGTTCGTCCGCCATCTAAATATTTTGTTCCAGTCAGTGCGCACACCCGGCGCTGGCGAAGTTTCGGGAGCAAGTGAGAGGTGCTTACCCCTATACTTATTATACTCTTTGGAGGTGCTCATCTCAATTGACGTACACACTACTGACAGATTGAACTGACACATAGACAACTTAACTTCATAACAAACGAGGCTTGTATTGCCTTTCGAATGAATAAATAATTATTCATTCTCCGACAAAGATTTATCTATCATCATGATCATGATGGCTACAACCAGAGCCGTATTATCCTTAAGGCAAGCTAGACAAGTGCCCAGGGTGCCATAAATATTAGCGCCGCAAGACTCGCGTGCCTAACTGCCCATAGAGTGGCGGCGGCGCCATAATATGGGCATAAAGCCATATTTCAACACGAATGGGCCGGCTCGACCGGAGTGATACCACGGTGGAACAGAAAACCGACGTGAAACAACGCTTGCGTTGTTTCGATTCTTGGTCGGTCGGTGGCTGTGTTTCGTCGTGTAAGTGAGGTTACCAGAGGCTCAATTACCCTCCCACCCGCCTTTCCCCAATCTTCCCAATCCCTGACTGAATCATTGGTGATTCAGTCAATCCTCAAATTCCCAATCCCTAAAAGGCCGGTAACGCGCCTGTAACTCCTCTGGTGTTCCAGATGTCCATGGGCGACGCCGATTTCTCACCATCAGGTGATACGTCTGCTCGTTTACCGGCTTATGCTATAAAAAAATCCTCTAATTCCTAATCCCCAAAAGGCCGGTAATGCACCTGTAACGGCTCTGGTGTTCCAGGTGTCTATGGACGACGCCGATGCCGATTGCTTACCATCAGGTGATCCGTTTAACCCAAGATCGAAAAAAGCCCCTTGTTCAGCAGTTGCACTTGACAGCCAATCGATCAAAGAGGAAGTTTTTTTTGTGTGACCCATCTTTATAACTTATCCCTTTTGTTTCAGTATCAACCCACAATATCAATGGGATCGAATAGACCGCAGACGGAACAAGAGAAAGGCTACCACGATAGCCTAGTCATAGTTCTGGACACACTGGAGATATGCCTCAGTTCACAGCCCAAGGACACCGCCAAGTATGATGAGGCCATGAACGTGAAGATACTGTTGAGAGAAGTCTGCCAGTTTATATGTAAGTAGTAACATAATTAACATAACCTCACGCCACAGAAGTAACACCTACTATTCACTATTTATGTTATGAGTCCCATGTAATAGGGGGTGAGCCTATTGCCATATACCGGGCACAATTCCAGACTCCGTGCTACTACTGAGATTTTTTTAAAAACCCAGTAATACTTTGCCCGACCCGGGAATCGAACCCGAGACCCCTTGCCCAGCAGTCGCACTTTCGAATACTAGGCCAACGAGGCAGTCATGTAATACTTTATGAGGTAAGTAGTACTTTATGAGATAGGTACTGGCTTTTGCCCGCGACGTCGTATGCGCAATCCCGTTTTTTTCGTTCCCACTAAATTAGAGAATTGATTAAAAAGTATTCTATCTCCGTCTCCTGGTTCTAAGCTACCTCCACACCAATTTTCAAGAAAATCGATTTAGCCGTTCTCGAGTTATAAATAGTGTAACTAACAGGTTTTTTTTAAACATAAACAGGATGTTTTTATAATAACTATCGTGAGACATACTAAATTAACTAAAAATCGCGGATTACTCACGTGAATATACTGAGACTAGCTTCTGCCCGCGACTACGTACGCGCAATCCCATTTTACCCCCGTTCCCGTTCGTGATCTTCGGTAAAAAGTAAAAAAAAAATATTGTATAAAAAGTATCCTATGTCCGTCTCCTGGTTCTAAGCTACTTCCCTGCAAATTTTCATCTAAATCGATTAAGGCGTTCTTGAGTTATAAATAGTGTAACTAACACGACTTTCTTTTATATATATAGATATGTAGGCTGCGCGACATCGCCGCGACCGCTCACGCTGCTCTTGAGGAAGAACCCCTCTGTGGTTCGAAACTAGTAGGTAGAGCTTTTCTCAGTATATTCATGTGAGCAACCTGCGATTTTTAGTTAACATACCTGTATATATCCCTGAATTCGACGATCTAATGTAATTTATAAACTCTAAGACTTAGAATTTTATTCATCTTTTTCTAATGACTGTTGGAATTTTGCTGATCACCTGGTGTCAGTTGATCATCGACTTCAGGGACAACCTGTATATAGATTAGTACTTTTCAATTACTAGTGTTACCTATTTAGGTGAGATCTATCATTTCCTACAGCTAGTGGCGTAACTACAGGGTGAAAAATTGGTAAAATGCCGCAGGTCCCTAGGTGAAAGGGGTCCCGTTCAGAGGTTTTCATCCGAAGATCTCTGTTTTTTTATTGAATACGGGCGCCTGTTCGATGAGTTTGTCACGCTCCCCGATCGGGACCATTACGCCACTGCCTACAGCATCACATCAACAGCTTATAATGCCCACTGCTGACCAAAGACTTCTTCTCACACGGAGAAAGTTTGAGCACTAATCACCACGCTTGCTCAATGCGGGTTTGGGAATACAAACTTATAATTAGAAATTATAAGCCCAGGTTTCCCTCACGATGTTTTCCTTCATCGTTTGTCAGTGGTGTCTAAATAATATTAGAAAGTACATATAACTCGGAAAAAGTCACATTGGTACTTGCCGTTGGTAGGTTTCGAATCCTCGTGCATGAGAAGCGGGAGTCTTATACCTTCGGGCCACCACGACATTTACGCCTGCAGCATATTACCTAATTCAAATATTTCTCACTATTTCAGTTTCAATATACTACTACACAGACATGCGCAATGAGAGCACAGTGAATAACACATTACTGAGACAGCTGGCCAGCAAGGTGCTGTTCGCGCTCAGTCTCAACTTCTTTAACGCTGTGTTCAATCGGATCAGTGCACGATTACAGGTTCGTATAGTTGCATTTGTTCGTATTTATTTATTTAATAATTTATGTACACACAAACAGCACAGAAGATAACACATATATATATAAAATAAGAGTACAAAGGTGCTACTTATTCCTGTTGGAATTTCTTCCAGTAGACCTGAGACAGGAAATGTAATTAAAACAAAAGACACAGTGTGTAACAGAAGAATAAGAAATATGTATAAAAAAAACTATAAAAATAACTATTATAAATAAATATAAATACTTAATATATAATAATAACAATAAATAGAATACACACATAAAAAAAATGTATCAGTACTCATGAAGAATTAGTTTTTTAAAGAGAGCGATAGATTTAGCGTCTCGAATGTTAGGCGGCAGAGAATTCCACAGTCTCACAGCATAAACGGTGAAGGAATAGGAGAAGAAGTCGGTATTATGAGGCACAATTTTAAGATTGGACTTAAGATGAGAACGGGTAAGGACTTCAGGACGGACCAAGGAGAAATATATATATATATATTTTTATTTACGGCATAGGAGGCAAACGCGCAAACGGATCATGTGATGGTAAGCGATCAGCGCCGCCCATGGTCACCAGCAACGCCAGGGGAGTCACAGGTCGTTGCCGGCCTTTCAAAAAGGAATACGCTCTTTTCTTAAGGTTTTGAAGGAAATAAAGATATACCGAAAGATTATTTTATATTAAAAAATACTAGAAAGTTCTAATGTAACCGTACATCACGCCTTTTATCCCCGCAGGGGTAAGATGAGGTGCACATTTCGGCACTTAATATCACTGTACAATGTAACACCCACTTTTCACTATTTCTGTTATAAGTCCCATGTAATAGGGGGTGAGTCTATTGCCATATACCGGGCACAATTCTATGCTTTGTGAGAATTAAAAAAAAAAACAGTACTACTTTGCCCGACCCGGGAATCGAACCCGAGACCCGACACGTGCTCCATCGTAGACTGCATCATCGCTTACCATCAGGCGAGATAGTGGTCAAACGTCCCTCGGCCCACGTAAAAAAGGATAATCCCTCTGGATTATTCTTTCCAATCCAATTAGAATTTTGGTTTATTTAACATGATGGACATCAAATAAAATTAGTCGCCATCTTTACTATGTTTGCTTGCGACGTTTTCAGACTCATTAAAATAATATTTTCCTTCCATTTTCAGGAACTATCATCTAGCTCAGAAGAAAACCCCGATTTTACAGACATAGAATTAATTCAACACGTAAACCTCGATATATTGAGGCTTATACGATTACTTACAGGTAATTTCGCTTCAATATTTTATTTTACAGTCGTTGAGCTTTTTTTTTAAGGGGGAAAATCTTCGAATGACTGCTTCCACCTGGGTGAGGCGGGAGGGAGTGTCAGACTCTTACTGACTAAAAACCACCCCGTTCCTTCTCCCTCACCGAGGCGGGAGGGAGTTAGTCATAGTAGAAGTAGTCATTCGATGATTTCCCCCCTAAAAAAAACCCTATTGAATTAAATGAGAATATACAAGTGTATAATAAAGAATAATACATAATACATACACTAGTTGTTACAGAATCTATACAGAAATACAAGCTGTTAAAGAAGAACGCACATGTTGTGCTCACCTCGTCTCTAGAGAAAGCTATATGGAATTGGATGGATACTTATCCACAGGTAATTATGAATAAAAATTGTTACATTAATAGCCTATAAATGCCCACTGCTGAGCAAAGCCCCTTCTCACACGGAGAAGGTTTGAGCATTAATCATCACGCTTCCTCAGTGCAGGTTGGCGATTTCAAACTTATAATTAAAAATTATAGAGCCCAGGTTTCCTCACGATGTTTTCCTTCACCGTTTGTCAGTGGTGTCTAGATAATCTGAGAAAGTACATATAACTTGGAAAAAGTCACATTGGTACTGTTCGATATGATTTTGAGTCCCGTTCGAGGCTTGAAACTAGTCGAGCGTTCTTGAACTTACTTGAGTAATCTGTAAATAATCAATTATAATTCCTTTTACCATGAATAAGGAGGAGTATAATTCAATTTCTGAGATAGGCAAACTATTATTTGAGACGTTAATGTTGGATTTCACCAATCTCTTTTAAAATTTAAGGAATTCATAATCAAACATAGGTGACCCTTAACGACATTTTGACGACATTTTGATACTTAAAGGTAAAAGTAATGAGTTAAATTAAGTGATCCCTCACGTAAAGTAGCTCTTATTTAGGTGACGGTTTAGATATGGTTGGTTAACCCCTCGAGCGTCCTTATGAGCACCCGGTGGATCATAAGAAAAAATGCTCCATCCTGCTTTCTCTTTTATAAAATCTATTATTAATGTTTTGTTTTTATTTTGACTGTATTTTTTATTTCTATTGTAATGATTCTTGTTTTCGTGTGCTAATGGCCGAATAAATGCATTTTCTTTATTTCTTTCTCCAAATGTCACGTGTGCACCCGTTGGATCATAAGGAACGCGGACGCTCGACGGGTTCATTTTTTTTTTTTTTCAGGAGTTCGCAGAGAACCAAAGTCGGCCTAATGATGAATTGAGCAAATGCTGCGATCTATTATTTGATCTCTTACAAGACAGTTTCTCAGATAACAAGAAATCTAGGGTCACTGTGTGGCCGCTACAGATAATGCTTCTATTATTGAACCCTGTGAGTATTGACATAAGGTTTATTTTTGAACAAAAACTATAATTATATTATGTCTTTGTTATTGAATAGGGTAGTTGCCTGGGTATGAAAATTATAAACGTAATTAGTCCGTCAGTTAGGTAATGAAAAAATATTAGATACGTATTTTTTTTAATTCTCGGATATAGTTGAAATACTTTGATAAAATAGCGTTATGTTTAGGAGTGGAAGGCCATTACGTCACAAAGTGCTACAAAATGTAGCACGCTGTGACGTCACACGACATTTCAAATTAATATACCGTCGAAAGTATTTATCGTTAAAGAAAAAATACGTGTGTAATATTTTAATATAATCTACTAGCCGGATATTAAAATAAAATTTAGGAAACCACCCTATTTTGTACCCTGTTGAGGTAGTTTGAAAGTTTATTGTTAAGTGAAATGATTTATAATGGTTTCGAATATGGTTTTATTATTTTGAAAGCGGGAATGACTACATTTTTTAGTCAAAATCGAATAGAGAGACAAGTAATAAAATATCAGTTAACTGCGGTCTAGATAAGCAGTTTTTAATAGTTTTTGTTCTTGATACAATACTATATCGATCGATTATGAAATATTACGTATTTTCTTCCTTTTTTTGATACCACGACGGTGATAAAAAAAGTATACGGCCCACCTGATGGTAAGCGGTTACCGTGGCCTATGTACGCTTGCAACACATGAGGCATTCTCTTCAATTACACACATAACATCATGCCTTTTATCCCCGAAGGGGTAGGCAGAGGTGCACATTATGCCATGTATACAAAGTAACACCCACTTTTCACTATTTTTGTTATGAGTCCCATGTAATTGGGCGTGAGCCTATTGCTATATACCGGGCACAATTCAGACTCCGTGCTACTACTGAGATTTTTTTAAAACCTATTTATACTTTGCCCGACCCGGGAATCGGCAGTCGCCCTTGCGACCACTCGGCCAACGAGGTAGTCTCTTCAATTAATTATTGTATTTTCTCTAACAGAAAGTTCTAGAAGAAATAGTGAATGCGGACAGCGGAGCGCCGTGCAGCCCACGACATACGAAGAAGAAATTATTCATAGATTGTGTCAAGCGAGGACTCAGTGAGTATTCTTGTACTATATTTTCTTTGTAAGACCCCTAAAAGACGTCGGCCCCTCATATATAATATAAAAAAACTAAATAATAATTCTTTCATTAACTGCATTTAAACTACAGACTTCAACCCCCTCTTTTTTGTAAATCGGTTAATTAATATACTAAAACCTTCTCCAAAGTGTAACATACCGGAGCCGCGGAGAACCTAACGGGCTACCAGAGCTCCGGCTTGAAGTGCAGGAGTAGGAACGGGGTGGCTTTTAGTCAGTAAGAGTCTGACACTCCCTCCCGCCTCACCTAGGCCGGAGAAGTCAAACCATGATTTTCCTATCTTAAAAAATTAAATAAAAAAGTGTAGGTAACATACACTTTTTTGAAAATTGCATCAAAATCAGTTCAGCCAATCGCGAGATAATCAAGCACAAATATACATACATACAGATCAAACTAAATTAAATGAATAGTGTAAACAAGATATTGATTATCCCAACATTTATTGATCCCTCGAATTCTATTCACCCTGTTTTAATGCACTGAGGTAGACTGTTTACACAATTAGGTGCTTATGACCCCAAAACAAAAGATTTAGTTTTGGATCCCTATACTTCTACCTTTAATGTTGTGTCTGATATAGGGACATCAGGGCCTTTAGCCAAACGCCACTTTAGCGCTTGTCTACAGAGAGAGTAGAAATCAAAATGTATTAGGATGACACTGACAAATGTCAAAATTTACGTCACTTCCATATAATTTGGTTTTCTATTCTACATGTAGACAAGCGCTAAATAGCATTTGGCTACAGCTGCTGTATAGTTCAAAACTAGCGACCAAACTACTTCAAGATAGGTTATCCATTGAAACCATAGAATAGTAACGATGGAGTTTCTTGCTTCTTGTTCTCCATTCGAAGTACATTCATACATTCACTAACTATTCAATTTGACGTTGAAAGGTCTTAAGTGCCTTATCAAGGATTAATTGAAACAATAATAAAAATACCTTTATTATTGTTACTTTATACATTGTATTATTACTTTGACCTTTGCCCTGCAGTGGGATGATCATGGCTGATAGTAAATAAATAAATAAATTATTACTGTCTTGTAGTTTTGCCGCTAAAGGCGCTATTATATCCGTAGATTAATTGTATTCTCCTTGCTATCTTTGGTCTGCGTGTTTCTGACATTAGCGTTATAGTTTCAGGTTGGTTCTTAGAAGAGTAAAAAGTGTTTTATTTAATATCAGAATTCTTATTTAAATCCACAAATATTAGTCAAATCTCAATAATTATCACAAAACACATGGGGTCAAAAGACCCGGCACAAGGGGTCAATAGACCCAAACCCCAATGTATTAACAAATTAAGACATGGTAATTATATTTTTCTAAATTTTAATTAATGTTTTTATTTAATTCACACAGGTCCATCAAACAATTCGAAGCAGATGACGGAAGCTGCGGTAGTGACTTGCGTCAAGCTATGCAAAGCGTCCACATATCTTAATATTGCAGACTCTGGGAATGTTACATTCAAACTTGTCAAGTCCGTTATTAATGATTTAAAGGTATGAATTTACATAAATAGTTTAATCTTTAAAGTATGATATGATACTGTTATTTTTACGAAAATGACAATTTTCATTTTGTCGCCTGATCGTTTAAACTTAGCTAATCGAAAAATGGGCACAGTCCTAGCGTCAGATCTCTTATTGAATCACAAAATCTAGAATCATTAGAAATATAGAGAATGGCCTTTTTACTGAAGCCATTTTATAAGTTAGTCTGAAATAAAAAACCTTGATTACTATGTTTTCGACTTACGCACGTAACTGTTTGACGGGTAACTCGACAAGTTTCAAGCCATGCTAGAGGCTCATATTCAAAAACATTAACGTGAATAATCCGAAAACATAATAATTAATTTAGTATTTCTCATGAAAATTTTAATATAAAAAATGCGTACTAGATTATTTAAATGAACTTACCCTGATGAAAAATAGATATATTTTTGATTAATTTATTAGCTAAGATATAATATTTTGTTTAGTATAACTGGTTGATTATTTCACAAACCCTTTGCCCAACACAAAAGATATATCCAGAATATTCAGAGAAAACAACTAATTAACATTTTCCCTTGCAGTCCCTCCTCTTCAACCCCGCGAAGTCATATATCCGTGGCAACCTGGTATCAGGGTACTCAGAGATCGATCTCATGACCGACTGCTTCGTATCCCTGTTCCGGATAATGCCGCACAATAACGACGCACTCAAAGTGTGCCTCAATCTGACCACGCATATATCCTACCATTATGTGATTATTAATTCTCTATTGAGGTGAGTTATAGTTATAATAAATAGTAATTTAAATATAGAAGATCCAACAGTCAAACTATTTATATATAGTTTTGTTGGACATGGCGTTAGATTATAAGGCATACCATGTACCTTTATTATTAATCCTTACTATTATAAATAGGAAAGTGAGTTTGTTTGTTTGTTTGTTTGTTCCGCTTTCACGCCGTAACTACTTAACCGATTGCTTTGAATTTTTGCAGACGTAAAGTTAGAAGTCCAGATTAAATAATAGGGTACTTTTTATCCCGGAAAATTTCGATATTCCCAAGGGAATACAAAAGAATTGGTATAGATGGCGCTGTGTGTATTGGTATATGTCACATAGGCTACTTTTATCGTTTTGTGACGCGAGCGAAGCTGCGGGTAAAAGCTAGTAAATAATAAATAACTACATAGTATAAAACAAAGTCGCTTTCTCTGTCCCTATGTCCCTTTGTATGCTTAAATCTTTGAAACTACGCAACGGATTTTGATGCCGTTTTTTTAATAGATAGAGTGATTCGAGAGGAAGTTTTATATGTATAATACAGGCATATTGCACCCGTGCGAAGCCGGGGCGGGTCGCTAGTATAATATATTTATTAAAATATTCACGTACACCAGTTTGTTACTATATGCTCGACCCATTTCAAGCTCAACCGAAGCTCTTAATTATGACCTGCATAGACCATGACAAGGCGCTGTGAATCCCTCGGGGATTACCCGACTAATATTGACTACAACCGGAGTCCGTTATCATGAGCTATGTAAACGTTAGTGTTCCGCTTTGACTCTGTCAACACCTTAAACAATAAAGGACTCAGTTTGGGCTTATAATTAGTCAATTTTTTTATAATTTAGATGTTAAATGTCATAACCGCTTAATTATTCTATAAAACTTATCATAAGTATAATACAAGTAGAGAATATTATTTATTTACACGTTGGATTTACAAGTTGTGCTTTTGACCCCAATCTTGGGATTAATGACCCCAAACTCGTACTCGTACTATCTAATGTCTAAACTAATATACTAACGCCCAATATGGAAAGGCTACTACTGATGGGCTATGTCGATATTTTCAGCACCAGTTAGATTTTATCAGAGGATTATCTTTGAATATTTGACAATTCTTCCATACTAATAACTGTCAATTGTCAATTTTATTCTACAGTTATATATTAACTAATGATTGATAAATCGGCTTATTGTATATTAATTAACTGACTTCAAAATAAGAGGGAGTTGAAGTCGCTTTTTTAAACGTACTTTTTAAAAGAATTGAGATAACGACAGGGTGTGAAAATTAAAAATCTAATTAGTCCGTCAGTTAGGTAATGAAAAAATATTAGACACGTATTTTTTTTATTTTGTCGTATAATAAAACAATACTTACATAAAACGAATCGAAGTGTAGGAGTGGGGGCTAAAACGTCATGTACATAGAAGTGACGTCACGAGACATTTAAAATCAATATATCGTCGAAAGTATTCGTTTCTGTAAGAAAATAAAAACTACGTGTGTAATGATTTAAAATAATCTATCAGACGGACATTAAAAAAAAATTAGGCATCTACCCTATCTCTATATATATAATTCTTCTGTGAGTGTGTATGTCACTGAACTTCTCTCAAACGACTGGACCGATTTTGATGAAATGTTTTGTGTGTGTTCAAGGGGATCTGGGAATGGTTTAGATTCACAAATCAGCCCGGCAGATGGCGCTGCAGTCGGTTTCTAGATTATTTATCTATACTTATCATATTATATGCAAGACAACGTCTGTCAGGTCCGCTAGTTATTACTATAATTAAAATTTGAATGTCCAGGATAATAAAGCAACCTCGGCTGCCATGGTGGCCGCAGATAGAACTATTGTACCCGCGCGCCGCAGAGCTACGCGCTATGTTCACTGATACCTCTAATAAGGCCACGCAGGTAATCTTCTTTATTTTTATTTTATTTTATTTAACCTTCATGCACAAAATCTACATAAGGTGGACTTAATGCCGCAGGCATTTTCTCCCAGTCTGACCTTTGGGTGATGCAGAAAAGAGTTAGTGGTGTGAGCAAGGAGCAAGCAACGATTTAATAGAGCAAATATCTTTATATATATAATTCTTCTGTGAGTGTGTATGTCACTGAACTTCTCTCAAACGACTGCACCGATTTTGATGAAATTTTTTGTGTGTGTTCAAGGGGATCTTTAGATAGATTAGATTCATAAATCAGCCCGGCAGATGGCGCTGCAGTCGTTTTTGGGTTAATTATCCTAAACAGCTGAACTAATTTGAATGAATTTTTGTTTATATATTCAAGTGGATATGCAGAACAACATCTGTCGGGTCCGCTAGTATCTTTATATATATAATTCTGCTGTACGTGTGTATGTCATTGAACTCCTCCTAAACGGCTTGACTGATTTAAATGGTTTTTTCTGTACGCGCTTGTGTGGTGCCCTGGATGGTTTAGATTCACAAATCAGCCCGGCAGATGGCGCTGCAATTTTTATCAATTATTTTATTAAAAATGTCATTTATAGTCCCACACTTATATTGAAATTGAAAATATTTTTGATTCTATCTGTCTCTTTCTCTCCACAGGGCTACGTAGTCCACACCCCTCTAAGAATGATATCACTATCCCTGAAATCCAAAGAAGTTCAGTCTAAGTTCAACAAGAGTGAGGAAATGCCCGCGTACAGACATCTACTGCTGTGCATCGTTAAACTTATACATGCTGATCCCATGTTGTGGCTTAGTGTAAGTATCTTACTAATATTAACATAACATCACGTCTTTTTATCCCCCAAGGGGTAGACAGAGGTGCTCATTTACGGCACTTAATGCCACTGTAGAATGTAACACCCACTTTTCACTATTTATGTTATGAGTCCCATGTAATAGGGGGTGAGCCTATTGCCATATACCGGGGACAATCCAGACTCAGTGCTTACTGAGAAAAACCCAGTAATACTTTGCCCGACCCGGGAATCGAACCTGAGACCCCTTGCAGTCGCACTTGCGACCACTCGGCCAACGAGCCAGTCGTTGTCGTTTTTTTGTTTAAAAATTCCTCCTTTTTCGTCACCAGAATCCTGGGCGTTCAAGCATAGAGATCCAGTCTTCGACTACGGAGCTTATGAACGGCCTGGTCTCATTGGTTCACCAGACCGGCATGGGTGAGATCTCCCAGGCCGCCATGGATGCTATACTGGCTCTGCATCGACCTGACAGGGTCCATATGTGGAATCCAGAGGCTCCTTTGAATACCTTCTGGGATATTAGGTAAGTATTTCAGGTTTTTATGAACTATTGTGAGACATACTGAGTTACTAAAAATGGCGAGTTACTCAAGTGAATATACTGAGAGAAGCTCTACTAGTTTCGAGCCACAGAGGGGTTTTTCCTCATGAGCAGCGTGCGCGGTCGCGGGGATGTCGCGCAGCCTACTAGTAGAGCTTTTGTCAGTATATTCACGTGAGTAACACGCGGTTTTTAGTTAATTATTTCAGGTTTTTTTTTGTTAAACGGTATTTAAATATATGCCATATTCCTAGAGCAAGCAGGCAATGCGAGCAAGAGCTTTTATTTAAGTTTTCGGTTTTTTGATTGAAAATTATTTTTTTGACATGGGATCGGCTATCGAGATCCAGTAATAAGTTTTGTTATTGACCGAAACGTATATAAAGTTCTGAGAAAGGTATTGCTTATCCCTTTTTACAAAGAAATAGTATAAAAATTAAATAAATTACGAAAAGAAAAACCTCTACTAATATCAAAGCCAAAGCTAAAGTCAGTTCAAATCTAGTTTAAAAACTAATTTCAAATCATAAAAAAAACAATAATCGAACCCCTAAATTCTCTTCCAGCTCACAAGTCCTATACAACATAAGCCAGAAACTGATCCAGCGGCAGATTTGCAACTACCGCGAGGTCCTTAGATGGCTGCGGGACATACTGACATGCCGCAATGAGTTCCTCGCCAAACACAAGGAGTACGCAAACGTGGGATCACAGATACCTATCTCAAAACAGGCGCACATCAAATTGGAGGTCAGTGTGTTAACCCATCTTTTTCTATACCTTGGGTTGTGTTGCTTAACTTTGCTATTGTTACGCTGAACTAACTACTCAAACGTCACTCAATCTTAAGTCGCGCTTAAATATACTTCTGTCACTACATTTTCTTAGTAAAATGACAGAGATGGCATGATATTTTTTTTTTTTTAGTAGCCTTCAGTATTCTGATCTTAATGTATAAAGAGTGGGTGTACTGTAAGTTTAAGTCAGAAATTTAGCTAGATTTAGTTGTGTTCTGTCAAAGATTTGAAAACTAATTTGATATAGGAATAAATGAACTTGCATAAATTCAAATTAAGCCTTTATGTTCACTTAAAACTACGGATTAAAATCCACAACTATTTTGAGTGTACTGAAAACTAACCTCTTGTCTGTAGAAAGTTGCGGGTATAATTTGTTTTATACCGGGAGCCGGTGTTTTAACAAATAAAAGGCTAAGAGACCCATTTCTTAATACGTTTAATTTTTAACGAACAAGATTAAACAAAATAAAAACGCTTCCGTACTTGCGCAATCATGCGCAAAGGTTGCGCTCAATACACTCTTTTGCGCAAAACTTAAACACCAACATTCCCTTCATAGGCAGTGTTCTTCATGTGCCAGGTACCATATTAAAATTAAAAGATAAAAAGCTTTTCTTATTGAGGGGCGGTACCGCCGTCCGTGAGTCGCTGTAGGGTGCCACCTGAAAATCAGCGTTGGGCAGGAACGCTCAACTATATGCTGAGGTGGAGGCCTTTTGGCAGGAGCACGCGCAAATTAATATTATTATTTTGTTTTTTTTTTGTATATTTCATATTCTGTTATTATTGTATTGCTATTTTGTTACACTGTGATGTCTTTTGTTCTGTTCTCGCTTATTTTAAGTTAACTATTAGTATTTTGTTTATGTAAGTATCTGTATGGATTTTTATATTTTTATAATCTATGTTTTGTGTGCTGATTGCCAAATAAATGTTTTTTCTTTCTTTCTTTCAATTTACTTGAGTAGCAAAACAAAAATCTTTCTTGCGCAAACAAGAATCATTTGCGCTTTACTAAAATTGATCATTTGCGCAAACGTAATTAATTGGGTACTTTCCTCTATGAAACATACATTATTTCGACTGTTGAATACAATAAAATATTAAAATATAATCACACTTTCATTAATTGATTTTATGACCAACTTCATTCTAGTATTTTTCCAGCAATTTTTTAAGAAATAAGTATGCTGTTTGACGCTAAAAAAACGTGACGTCACAATACACAATCTCATACAAAATTCATAGAAAACTGTCGTTTTTGACAGTGCGAAAAAAGTATTGAATTTGACTAGTGTACAATTAAGTACCATTCCAATTGAATTGCGCAAAATCAAATATAAATCGCCTTGTTCCCTTTACAGGTAGTGTTCTTCATGTGTCTATGGTCCATAGACACGGACGTGGTACTGGTAGCGATGTCGTGCTTCGCCCTCCTGTGTCAGGAGGCCGACATTAGGTGTGGCTCCGATGAAATCACTACGCAGTGCCTATTGCCTAACTACGCCGTGTTCCAGGAAATTGCACATACCTCCACTGTTTTGACCACTGGTGAGTCTGTAATACTTTTTGTACATTTCGTAGGATTAATATAAAATTTGTATTGTAACTTTCGTGAGACATACTAAATAAATTATTATGTTTTCGGCTCACTCACGTAGTATTTTTTTTTTTTTTGTTTTTCTTCTATTTTGGTTTTATTTTTATTGTGCAACTACCACCCATTCCCAGATTCTTTTCTAAAATTCCATCCAAAGGTTGTCTGGAAGAAATCGCCGCGTGTGATAAGACCACCCATTGTACCTACTCTAATTACTATTGCAATGTTTACAATTTTTTTTCTGTGTGTGCAATAAAGTATAAATAAATAAATAAATAAATAATTTGACGTGCACTGCTACTCATGAATATGAGCCTCTAGCATGGCTTGAAACTAGTCGAGTTCCCGTCAAATTATTACGTGAGTAAGCCAAAAACATAATAATTGATTAGCATAAAAGTTTAGAACGGAATGTTGAGATGTATATGCAAAGGAACGTGAAGGAGAGAGTGAGATGGGAGTAACGAGATAAATGCCATTGAATGAACGGAAGTATATGCCATTTAGCGCTTGTCTACATGTAGAATAGAAAACCAAATTATATGGAATTGACGTAAATTTTGACACTTGTCAGTGTCATCCCCATACATTTTGATTTCTACTCTCTCTGTAGACAAGCGCTAAAGTGGTGTTTGGCTAAAGGTACAGGAGTTGCAGCGGTTTTGGGAGGTTGTGGCGGGATGTTTCCATTTAAAAAGATATAATGTTATACATTTGGTTTACTTTTCACTTACAAGCGGCCAGTCAGGATATGGGTAGAGGATGTTATTACAAAAATATACACAGTGAGTATTTTATCCTTTATTTCATTTATTATTTTCACATTTTTTTACAAAGTTAAATAATGCTACTTGCCGTGGAGAACTTAACAGGTTACCGGCTCGAAGTGCAGTAGTAGGAACGGGGTGGTTTTTAGTCAGTAAGAGTCTGACACTCCCTCCCGCCTTACCCGGGCGGGAGAAGAGACTGAGACTTTCTACATACACAAATTAACTCGTGAGTTACAAATGCTAGCTAGTATTTGTATACGTGTGGGATTTGTGTTGTCATCTGCTTCGCCCGCATCCCCGGGAAAAGGTACTCCATGTAATATTGCAGATTCTAATCTATCTAAAGAAAGAATAGGAATTTATTCGACAGTAGGCATCCACACAGATATAAAGGTAATTGAAAAATATAGATACTTATATAATACACACACACACACACACACACCACACACACACACACACACATTAAACAGCCTATAAGTACCCACTGCTGAGCAAAGCCTCTTTTCACACGTAGAAGGTTTGAGCATTAAACCACGCTTGCTCAATGCGGGTTGGCGATTACAAACTTATAATTAGAAATTGTAAGCCCAGGTTTCCTCACGATGTTTTCCTTCACCGTTTGTCAGTGATGTCTAGATAGATAGTAAGATCTACATTATTATATATTATGCAACAGGCTCAGCTGCACTGCAGAAGCGAATAATGGCCTTGCTTCGGAAGATAGAACATTGCGTCAACGGGGTACAACCGGTGTGGGAGGAGACATTCCGTTGTTGGTACGTACACAACAACAATACAACAACATAACAGTCTTAGCCTCACGCCTTGTCGCGGAGAACCTAACGGGTAACCGGGGCTCCGGCTCGACGTGCAGGAGAAGGAACGGGGTGGTTTTTAGTCAGTAAGAGTCTGACACTCCCTCCCGCCTCACGCGGGCGGAAGCAGTCATTCGATGATTACACCCCTTAAAAAAAAAGCCTCACGCCTTTTAGCTCCAGAGGGGTAGGCAGAAGTGGATATTACGGCACTTAAAGCTACTGTACAATGTAACACCCACTTTTCACTATTTATATTATGAAAATATAGTATAACTGGGTTTTTTAAGAAATTCTCAGTAGTAGCACGGATCTGGAATTGTGCTCGTCATATGGCAATAGGCTCACCCCCTATTACATGGGACTCATAACATAGATAGTGAAAAGTGGATGTTACATTGTACAGCGGCATAAAGTGCCGTATATGCACCTCTGCCTACCACTTCAGGGATAATAGGCGTGAAGTTATGTATATATGTATTATTCTTAAAACTATACCACTATACGCGTTATTGTGACAATAGAGTACAGAAGAGTACATTAAACACACACCCTTACCCTTTCTGCAAGTGATTAACAAATATTTTGCTAAATATTCCCCCTTCTACTCAGGGATTCCCTCTGCAAGTTGCTCCAGAAGTACCCGAAAGGACAGGGGGACAAAGTGGACGACTGCCAGATGGAAGCAATACACAGAGCCGTTGCTAAGCGACGGGTCTCCCACCATACAAGCAGTGAACATGACTTTGAGGTAAGATAAATAAAAAAAAAGTGTTTTGCGGTACCGGCCCGGTAAAGGTAGGCAATTGAGTACTTTCCTTAATAAAAAATAAATTATTTCGACTGTTCAATACAATAAAATATTAAAAAATAATCACACTTTCATTAATTGATTTTATGACCAACTTCATTTTAGTATTTTTCCTGGAAACCTGCTGCGTGCTATCACTGTCATTTAAAAAAAAATAAAACCCAGTAGTACTTTGCCTGACCCGGGAATCGAACCCGAGACCCCTTGCCCGGCAGTCGGACTTGCGACCATTCGGTCAACGATGCAGTCAAATTGTGGAAAAAAATGTTATACATAATACTATTATATAAAGCGGAAGTTTGTTTTTTTGATGAGGCAATAGGGGGTATAGGGTCTTTTCTTAACCCTTTGAGTACCGTCATTATAGACACAATTAAAGAACAATAGGTTGCGGTCACCGGTGTCCTCGCGGTGTTTGACAGTTTAATTCACTCAGACGTCGTTGTTTCACCACGGTTTTCTATGATGCCATGGTATCACTCATGGTTGAGCCCATTTGTACCGAAGTATGGTTCTCCTACATTTAAAAGTTTTCTAACAAACAATCATTTATTTTATTTCTATTAACAGATGCAGATCCAAGAGTGGGCTAATATAACATCATTCCTATGTGCGCTCGGCGGTGTCTGCCTCCAGCGCCGGCCCACTACTTCGTGGTCACATCTACATGGACATGGTGAGTGGAACTGCATCATAAGATGTACATGATTGTACATCTACCAGGCCAAAAGTCCACTGCCACCGAGAGTGATGTTCACACGGCAATGCGTAAGTAATTTAGCATATAAACGCGTGCGTACGCATAAACACACGCACGCGTACGCACACGGATAAAAATATGCGTGTGCGTGTGGGTATAAGCGCTGCAGCGCAACTGATAGTAGTCTTACGGTGGCAGTGGACTTTTGGCCTTTGACCGTACATTATTTGATAAGAGATTTCAGACTGTATTTAATGAGTGGTGTGGTTGAGAATCTATATGAATTGTGAATGAATTTACGTTCGTTATTTTCGCTAAACCTCGAGAACGGCTGAACTGATATGACTAATTTTGGTCCTGAAATGATTGTGGAAGTTCAAGCAAAGTTTCAAAGGTGAGAAAAAAATATTTAGGCGGAACGAAGTTTGCCTGGTCAGCTGGTCTTTTAATAAAGATGCTCGGTTGCTTCATCATTATAATAAACATTCTATCTTTCACCAACAACAATACGGTTTCACTAAAGGCACAGCTAACGCCGGTGTCACTTTGATTAAAGAAATATTTGGTACTTGGGAGGAGGTACAGAACGCTAAGTGTCTTTTGTGACCTCTCAAAAGCATTGGATTGTGTTGACCACGAGACACTTTTGCTGAAATTAGATCACTACGGGACAAGAAACTCTGAGGTCCGTCTTATGAAATCTTATTAAGAAGACAGTTAAAGGTTCATGTTAACGGTATTAACTCGCAGGGCTCTGGGATGAATATGGGCGTTCCTCAAGGTTCAATATTGGGTCCTTTTCTCTTTTTAGTCTATATAAATGATTGGTTATTCAAAAATGAACCAATAATGGTGCTTTTTGCCAAATGTATTAAAATTAGTTTACCAAACGTGCGTAGTAACGATTGTGATATTGTTTTGAACGGTCAAAAGTTAGAATGTGTCGACGAGATGGTATTTTTAGGCATTACATTAGACAATAGGCTACAATGGGGTCCGCATATAAATGCGTCTAGGTTAGCCGTCTAGTTTCCTTACGGCATCGAGCATTTCTTTCTTTATTGAAACAAAGAGTTTCCTTTTTCTTGTATAGAAGTACTATTTTTATGGATTGTCAGTATGCATATGTGTGCATCATGTTAGACTATAAGATTTTTAACCGACTTCAAAAAAAGGAGGAGGTTCTCAATTCGACCGTATATATGCTTTTTTTTTATGTTTGTTCGCCGATATCTCCGTTGTTTATAAACCGATTTTGAAAATTCTTTTTTTGTTAGAAAGGAGATAGTTCCAGAATGGTCCCATGATAAGGAAATCAGGATCTGATGATGGAAGACCAGGGAAACCGAGGGGAACTTTTAAAAATTATAGGGGTGACTAGGGCATTTGTTAATTTTTTCATTAAGTATTAAAAACCACTACAATCTGATAAAGGTCTGGAGCCGATCTGATGATGGAGCCGAGAGCCAGTTGAGGGAACACCTCAACGGTTAACAGTAGCTACCTTGTGTTTGGGTTTGATTAATTTGTATTAATGAGGACTTTACACCTGTGTGGGATGTAATTGTCAATAAGGGTATGATGATGAAGTAGTACGATAGTTGAGGGAACTCCTCAAAGGTTAACACTAGCTACCTTGTGTTTGGGTTTGATTAATTTGTATTGATGAGGACTTTACACCTGAGTGGGGTGTAATTGTCAATAAGGGTCTGATGATGAAGTAGTACGATAGTTGAGGGAACTCCTCAAAGGTTAACACTAGCTACCTTGTGTTTGGGTTTGAATAATTTGTATTGATGAGGACTTTACACCTGAGTGGGGTGTAATTGTCAATAAGGGTCTGATGATGAAGTAGTACGATAGTTGAGGGAACTCCTCAAAGGTTAACACTAGCTACCTTGTGTTTGGGTTTGATTAATTTGTATTGATGAGGACTTTACACCTGAGTGGGGTGTAATTGTCAATAAGGGTCTGATGATGAAGTAGTACGATAGTTGAGGGAACTCCTCAACGGTTAACAGTAGCTTTTGTGTTTAGGTTTGATTAATTTGTATTGATGAGGACTTTACACCTAGATGGGGGGGGGGGTGATGGTCATTAAAGGTCCAATGACGAAGTAGTATGATAGCTAAGGGACTCCTCAATGGTTAAGAGTACCCACCCGGTGTTTGAACTTGCATAATTTGTATTGATGAAAACTTTGCATCCATGTGGGTTTTGTTTATATATATAATATATCAAAGTACTAAACTAAAAAGTATAAAATAAAATTAAAAAACTGCGTTTAAAAAAACCGACTTCAAAAACAAATGACAAACAAAAAGTAAAAACTAAAAAGGAAAAAAAAAAACTATTAGTGGTCATACGTACTTATAGCTTACACACCCACTGATAGGTTAGAAGTCGGTGCCACAAACCCACAATAAAATATAAAGTAGACAAAAGTCACAGCTGGTATAATCCATAATAAAATTGTAAACAGCTCAATAATGTTAGGTATCTATTAAGGTTTTAATGAATAAAACTTGTGGCACCGACTTCTAACCTATCAGTGGGTGTGTAAGCTATAAGTACGTATGACCACTAATAGTTTTTTTTTCCTTTTTAGTTTTTACTTTTTGTTTGTCATTTGTTTTTGAAGTCGGTTTTTTTAAACGCAGTTTTTTTTTGTTTTTTTTTTGGTTTTGTAAATAGTATACGTTGTTATGGTTAAGAATCAACTGATACCACTACTTTTTCTAATGTAATATAAACTATTTATATTTCAGCAGATTCAAGGAAATACAACGTTTTGGCGAACAGTTCCCAGGAAGTTCAATATTGCCCTGTTACTCAGTAAGTATTATTTTTGTATTGTAACTTTCGTGAGACATACTTTATAAATTATTATGTTTTCGGCTTACTCACATAATAATTTGACGAGGAACTCGACTAGTTTTAAGCCATGCTTATATTCATGAGCTGCATTTCGCGACCCGCGAAGCGGCGACTGTCGCGCTGCTACTACTTGACTGCACGGTTGGTGCGGTGGCTGGGCAACCGGCTGCCGTGCAACGTGTCGCGGGTTCGATTCCCGCACGGAACAACACTTTGTGTGATCCACAAATTGTTGTTCCGGGTCTGGGTGTTATGTGTATGTGAATTTGTATGTTTGTAAACGACACAGGAGAAAATCCTAGAATGGGGCAACGTTCTTTTAAAAAAAAAAATATGCTGCCTAACATGTAAAGTATGTAGCTACCTATAAATTAATACTAACTTTCCGGCTACTTTACATGACTGTTTATTGCTACAATACTAACCTAACCTAACCTAAAACGTCTGTTGTCGGTAACTTAGTAATTTTGTCGGAGGTTCAATATTCTATTCGGAAGTTTAGTTTTGTTATTCGAAGATCCATTTTTATAGTCGGCCACAGATCGCTGGAGATTAATTTGTTTTTCGGAACCATTATTGTTTTCCATATATAAACGTAATAATAATTGATTGACCTATTTTGACCTAACTGACATTTTTAAATATTTGCAATACATATTGTTTGATTACTACCTACTATTATTTTCTTTTTGACATTTCTAATTAATATCAAGAATAATACCTTATCTAGATGTAATTCGATCAAAGTACATATTGTTTTTTTTATTGTTGAAATTGATTGTTAAATTAGTATATCGTCATTATTCATGTTTTTCCTCAATACATATACTTCTCTGTTTTATTTATTTATTTATTTATTTATTTCCACTTACATTTATCTTTACAGGTTAATGCCCAATGTGATAAATGTGCTCATCTTAATATCTACCTATAGCATATTACATATAATGCATTCCTTGAATTTTAATAAAACTTAAGCCTAGTGCTCACCACAATTTGTACGCCTCCGGGTATAGCATAGCGCTCTTTTTTATTACCATATATAAGACCTATATCTGTATGCACCTATGTTAACAAATAAAAGTGATTTTATTTGATTTTGATTTGATTTGAATAATTTTGTCAACAGATTCATAGGCCAATTACTCCGTCTCCTGCTATGCAGTAACGAACGCTTTGGCCAACAAATACAGACGCACGTCAAGGAGTTGGTCGGCCATGAGATGTCTCCAGCACTATATCCGATACTCTTCGATCAGATCAAGGCCATCATTGACAAGTTCTTTGATCAACAGCAACAGGTATGTCGTTGGATTTTCTTTTAAGGGGGGAAATCATCGAATGACTGCTCCCGCCTGGGTGAGGCGGGAGGGAATGTGTCCGGTATATGGCAATAGGCTCACTCCCTATTACACGGTACTCATAATATAAACAGTGAAAAGTGGGTGTTACATTGTGCAGTAGCTTTAAGTGCCGTAATGTGCACCGCTACTTACCCCTCCGGGGATAAAAGGCTTGAGGCTTTTTTTTTAAGGGGGGAAAATCATCGAATGACTGCTCCCGCCTGGGTGAGGCGGGAGGGAGTGTCAGACTCTTACTGACTAAAAACCACCCCGTTCCTTCTCCTGCACTTCGAGCCGGAGCCCCGGTTACCCGTTAGGTTCTCCGCGATATGTCTTTGGAATAGGGTTTAGTTTTGATTGGAGATTTTTGTTTGTTATTTTTTCGGTTATTGTGTTGTTGTTGTACGTACTAAGTGTCGTTTGTTGGTACTGGGGATTTTTTTAAATTTATAAATTGTGTAATTTTCTTAATATGATGAAATATCATATATAAAATAATAACTTTAATTATTGATCTCACGATATACTTAATATTCATATTTTTGCCTCGTTAGCCGAGTGTTCGCAAGTGCGACTGCCGGGCAAGGGGTCTCGGGTTCGATTCCCGGGTCGGGCAAAGTATTACTGGGGTTTTTAAAAAAAAAAAATCTCAGTAGTAGCACGGAGTCTGGAATTGTGCTCGGTATATGGCAATAGGCTCACCCCCTATTACATGGGACTCATAACATAAATAGTGAAAAGTGGGTGTTACATTGTACAGTGGCATAATGTGCACCTCTGCCTACCCCTTCGGGGATAAAAAGGCGTGATGTTATGTTATGTTATGTTGTACGTTCAAAAATCAGTGGGGCGGTGGCAGCACCCCGCGCTTGTGATCGAGGGTTAAGCAATCACTAAGTGCCAAACACGTAATCTCGTTTTTATTCAACAGGTAATGCTAACCGATATTAACACCCAATTCGTGGAGCACACGATATTTATAATGAAGAGTATCCTGGACATCAAGAAGAGTGGCCAGCCCAACGAACATCTCAGTACTACGTCCATCGAGACACTGATGCTGTCCATCGTCAGGTAAGCTTTCAATTCTTGAGTCAGTCAAATTAGATAGGCCCAGGTAGAAATAAAAGCGGACTGTATTTCAAAAGTATATTTTAGTTTTTGTACAATGGTCTAAAATTATAACTAAAAATTATGCGATTGTGGTCGCGTTGTTGAAAAAGAGTGTCAAGAGCTGCGGGTCGTCGCCGAGCCGTTGCGCTCTCACGCCGCCCGCTCCCCTCTCTTGATGATGCATGCGTGCATCGGACGTCTTAACGTGTTTGTTAATACAAATTATTTTTAGCCCCTTAATCGATGTCAGATGTAAAAAATCATGTTTATACCATTTTCGAGGTGACCCGACTAGTTTCGAGTAAACCGGGGATCCTTAATATTTTTCAAGGTTGAGGTACGTAAGCTGTTGTGTGATGAAAGTTGAATTCGGAGTATTAAAATCGTTATAGAGTAGTTTAAACGGTATCAATAATATGTAGTAACAGTATGATACAACATTTGTAATAAAGAGTATTCTGAGATATAGGAATAAGAGATATTAAACAACTAATGTTTTTGCATTGGTTTATTCACTTATACCATTTTTGAGAATGCCCGACTAGTTTCGAGCTACACCGAGGCCCTTAATATTTTTCTGGGTTGAACTAAGTAAGATTTTGTGTATAAAAACTGTATTTGAGGAGACAGATTCCATTTCTTAGCCAAATGAAATGATGTATGGGCAATTTTCTTCAGTGAATGTTGATTATAAGTATCTAATTAATCTAATTATATTATGTTTGTTCCAGGTACGTGCGACACCTAGACATGACAGTACTGTCGGTGCACATAAAGACGAAACTCTGCCAAGTAGTCGAGGCCATGATGAGGAGGAGGGATGACCTTGCTTTTAGACAGGTAAACTTCATTATTTTCATAGAGAAATAATAGGGCGCCCTAGACGGACATATAGTGACCAGATTGGCGATATATTAAAGAAGGGCCAAATTAAAAGTACCTTTAACCGACGAGCATGCATGAAAATATTGATGACTGTTGATGAAGCGAAAGAGGTATGTAGGAATCGTAGTCATTGGCGTTCCCTAGTCTCTAGTAGCATAATTTATGCTGGTAGAAAGGTATTATAGCAATAAACAGTCATGTTTATATTTCGAATATTTCAGTATCTCATTCGATCGTTTCGTCGTTTTTTTCGGACAAAAGTAGTCGGAAAGTTAGTTTTTAAACTACCGTAAGACACACTAAAATAATTAAGTGTTGGAGATTAATTTAAGCGTAGGTGAGCCACGCTTCGGCTGGCTCGACCGGAGTGATACCACGGCTTCACGGAAACTGACGTGAAACATCGCTTGCGTTGTGTTTCGTTATGTGTGACGGTGTGCAAATAAACAATTTTTCTTTCTTTCTTTCTTTCTTTCTTTCTATGTGAGTGAGGTTACCGGAAGCCCAATTACCATCCTCCTTAATCTCCACAGTCCCCGAATCCCGATTGCTTACCATCAAGTGATCCCTCTGCTCGTTCACTGGCTTATCCCATAAGAAATGGTATAGCGAAATTTTTCACAATCACCAAATGGTTACCTGTTAGGGGACGGGAAATGTTCGCTGAATTATATCCAATTCTATGTGAAATAAATAAAATGCGTTTTATCCCACCAGGAAATGAAGTTCCGTAACAAGATGGTGGAGTACGTGACGGACTGGGTGCTGGGCACCAGTCACCAGATCGCTCCACCACTCCGAGCTGACGCCTCCTCCATCACCAGGTCAGTTCGTCATTATACATGGGAACTTATTTTATTGTACGCAGTGACAGTCGCGCTCTTGTAAGCAGTTGGGGGCTACAAAAATAATTATACATTACTTTTTCTATTGGTCACAAATTGTCCGCATACCAATCTTTAGCGTTTTACTTTTTCGAAATGCTCTATACAAACTTCCACCCCCACATTAAAGAAGTGGGGTTAGAAAGAGACAAAAATTAGTTTGTCATTCCCCTTTTAAATATTCCTTCTATTTTCCCGCGTCACCAAAAGTAAAAAGTAGCCTATGTATTACTTTAAACCATAGTTCCAAATTTCATCCCGGTCCCTTCAGCCATTTAGATATGACTGAGTACCAAACACACACACAAACATACAAATTCACATATTTTCACATTTATAATATCGGTTCAAGCTAATTTCAACCATCGACTCTATATATACAGCGTAAAGTCCACTGCAGGCAACCTAATATCAAGTTTCATCGTAATTGGACCGGTAGTTTTTGTGTTATACCTACATATGTAAACATACAGACAGACAGAAATTTTCAATCACATTTTTCGGTTTGATGTCCATTTTTTTATATGTAATTTAAAAAAAAAAAACATTGCCCCACTTGGAATTTCTCCTGGTCGTAGGTGTGTTTACAAACATACAAGTTCACATACACATAACACCCAGACCCGGAATAACAAACACAAAGAGATGTTCCGTGCGGGAATCGAAACTGTCTTCCTCTTATGTATAAATGTATCACTAAAAAATGTTGGATAATTTGTACCTCAATTGGGAGCAAATAAAATAACGTTCATTCAAATTTAATTCATTTATTCATAGAATTTACACATCTACAGTTTTTTCTATATGGATAGATTATTTTATACAGACACGTGTGACCAGAGTCAACTAACTAAATACTACACAATACTTACCATGTCACAGTCTAACTACAAAACTCCTCATTGAAGACCAAAATGCCCACTACCGCCATCTACGTTCCATTTCCAAACCCCTATCTCCTTACACAGATACCTGGTCTGCTGCAGAGAGCTGGACCAAGCGTGTATGGAAGCAGTGGCTTCGTTGCTGAAGGGTCTACCTCTTCAGCCCGAGGAGTCGGATCGAGGGGATCTCATGGAAGCCAAGAGTCAACTGTTTCTTAAGTAAGTTTAGATTTTTTATGGTATAAGCTGTTAAACGAGTGAAAGGATCACCTGATGGTAAGCAATCGGCGTCGCCCATGGTCACCTGGAACACCAGAGGCGTTACAAGTGCGTTACCGGCCTTTTGGGGATTAGGAATATTGAAGTTACTTGATTTTGACTAAACCGACACAAAATTGCTTATTTATATTTTTTTTTTTTATTTATTTATTCATGAACAATTATTACATTGTGTTTGAATTTGTACAATACACCTATATTCTAAAAATTATACATGCAATAATTAGCCGTTACAATTAATAAAGTTAAATGTCATTCCCTGTACTTGTCAATTCATAATTAATTATAACAAGATAAAAACAATAATACACAAAATATAATAAAATATAGTCATGTCATCCATAAAATACCAAAAAAAAAAAACACACAACAACAATTCCAATAAATTAAGTTATAATTCGTCAACATGATAAAGACACTTATTTAACAAGAACTGTCTAAGCTTATTCCGAAACTCGCCTTTATAAATAAGACCTTTTATTTCCGTTGGCAGTTTATTAAACAGCTTTAACGACTTGTGGTAGGAACTATGCTTTGCAACGTTTAGGTGAGTCACTTGCTTCAACTGAAGATCTTTCCTTCTTGTGCTCTCCCTTCTTTGTCTTTCATCCTCAGTTTCATATTCAAAGATGTACCTAGACAAATGGGTAAGCAGGACCAAAATGTATAAACTTGGGACTGTCAGTATATTCAATTCATTGAAATGAGGCTTACATGATTCTTGCTGCTGTATTCCAACCATAGTCCTGACTGCCCTTTTTTGTATTACAAATGCTTTCTGTATATTGTAGTCATAGCTATAGGTATCATTTGGGGTATAAAATCCTACACTAGAATTCTTTAACAATAGCGTATTGTGAGTTCATCCCAAACTAGCCTTTTTGGAGAGTTAACATATGATTTATCTGTTATTGTAAGTTGCCTGACTGACTGCCTCGTTGGCAGAGTGGTCGCAAGTGCGGCTGCCGGGCAAGGGGCTTCGGGTTCGATTCCCGGGTCGGGCAACGTATTACTGGGATTTGAAAAAATTCTCAGTAGTAGCACGGAGTCTGAAAATGTGCCCGGTATATGGAAAAGTGAGTGTTAGGTACATTGTACAGTGGCAGAGGTGCACCTCTGCCTACCCCCTTAGGGGATAAAAGGCGTGATTTTATGTATGTATTATTGTAAGTATGTTTTCAGTCATAAATGATATTGTAATTCTGTGCGAATAAAACAGTAAAGTTTAAAAACAAATAAGGTTCTTTTTATCGGTAGCCTCTTTTATCGTTGCTTTTTCAAGATGAAACTCACCTAAAAAATTAAATTTACGGGCTAATATGTAAGGTCGTAGGTAGATATCAAACGCATAAGTGACCGTAAAAGTTTATTGTTAATAAAGAGTTCAGAGCACTTTCTTAATGTTAATGTTTAATGTTAAAAATGTTAGAAATGTTAATGTTTATGTTATTTGATGAATGCACACGTTCTGTTCGCGATCGACAAGTACACTGATGTCTCGTATGTTCATGTTAAAACAATACATGAAAACTGCTTCGCAATCAGGTGTTCGGGTTTACACTGAACAATAAACTTACTACTTTTTACTTACAAAAGCTATGATGACAGGGTATGAAAATTAAAAATCTAATTAGTCCGACAATTAGGTAATGAAAAAATAGTAGACACGTATTTTTTATTTTGTCGTATAATAAAACAATACTTAGATAAAACGAATCAAAGTTTAGGAGTGGGGGCTAAAACTTCATTTCTAAGTATAAAATGTACATAGAAGTAACGTCACGCGATATTTCAAATCAATATATCGTCGGAAGTATTCGTTTCTGTAAGAAAATAAAAAATACGTGTGTAATGTTTTAAAATAATTTACCAGACGGACATTAAAATAAAAATTAGACATCTAGCATAATACATCAGAAGTAAATACAACTTTATTTTTCAGATACTTTACTCTATTCATGAATCTCCTGAACGACTGTAACGAGGTGGAGATGGCAGAAGGTCCAGGTCGGCTGGAGACGCTACGTAACGCGACCATACAGGCCATGTCCAATCTACTCAGTGCAAACATCGACTCTGGACTTATGCATAGTATTGGTAAGTATTTTATTAACCAGTACCTACTCCCGCGCGGTTTTACCCACTCTGCTCGGTTCCTATTAATGGTAGCATGATGTTTAATAGCCTATAGCCTACCTCGATAAATGCACTATCTAACACAACAAGAATTTTTCAAATCGGACTAGTAATTCCTGAGATTAACGCGTTCAAACTAACTCTTAAGTTTTATTGGTAGTATCTGATATAAGATTTATCATGATTTGAACATTTCCATACTAAATTAATTATTATGTTTTCGGCATACTCACGTTATTATTTCCATACTGCTAAACATTAGGTTTTTCCCAATAGTATCCAGAACCAAAACGTACAGTATATGGCAATAGGCTCACCCCCTATTACATGGGACTCAACTTGTACAGTGGCATTAAGTGCCGTAATGTGCACCTCTGCCTAACCCTTCAGGGATAAAAGGCGTGATTTTATGTTATATTACTTATACTCTCATAACTGATGTTATGTGTTTGTGTATCATGTTTTTTCTCATTTCGAGAATTTGTATTTATAAGCAAAACACGTGAGTGTAGCAAACAGACTAAACTTTATTCCATCTTTAAAAATATACGTAGACAATTATATTTTCTTATCCTTACTAATATTATAAATCGGAAAGTGAGTTTGTTTGTTTGTTTGTTCCACTTTACTAAACCGATTGCTTTGAATTTTTGCAGACGTAAAGTTAGAAGTCTGGATTAAATAATAGGGTACTTTTTATCCCGGAAAAATTAATATTCTCGAGGGAAACCGAAATTATTGGTATAGATGGCGCTATGTGTATTGGTATATGTCACGTAAGCTACTTTTTATCCTCTTGTGACGCGAGCGAAGCCGCGGGTAAAAGCTAGTATACTATAAACAAACATTACAAATGTTTAATAAGTCTCTACATTTCAACAGATATAGTATAAAAAGTAGCAACACACAAATACTTTTATTATTTTGATATATCATTACAACAGTATGATGTATGTGTTTGTCCCCAGACTTGGGTTATCACCGCGACTTGCAGACTCGAGCGGCGTTTATGGAAGTGCTAACTAAGATACTGCAACAGGGGACAGAGTTCGATACTCTGGCCGAGACAGTACTAGCTGACAGATTCGAACAGCTTGTACAACTCGTCACGATGATATCAGACAAGGTAGGGGCGAGAGACGCAATATTTCTTAATCTTATCATATGGTTATATTTAGCTTGCCCCGTTTGTTTGAGTTTAATTAAGTAGTTGAAATTTCACCCCCTTCCTGACGACAGATCGATCTGATATTTGGTACACACTCTTAATCTTGATGACCATACAATATAATTTATTTTTTTCCACAACTACCTCCTTTTGGGATACCAAACGAAAGGGCTTCATTGGTAGAATAGAGCTCATTAAAACCGTTTAGCGTTAAAAATGAAAAAAATATGTAACTTATTAAAATGCTTTTATTAAGTCGACCTGTAACGAGTTATATAATAAAATCTAAGAATCTGAACGATTACTTCTAATTGTTGTATCATCATTAAACTCGGCAATTGGGTAATTTCTTTAATCAAAATAAAAAAATGTTCAATACAATAAAATAATCAGAATTAGTTTTATGACCAACTTAATTTTAGTAGATTTTTTGGGGATTAGGTGATTTAGGATTTCGGGGATTAGGGATGGAGAGGGGAAGATTGGGCTTTTGATAACCTCACACGGCTGAGCGTGTTTCACGTCGTTTTTTTAGGCAATGATGTGACTTCGGTTGAGCCGGCCTATTCATGTCAAAGCATGGCTTTCTCACACTTAACAAAAAATATTTTTAACAATAATAATAACTAGTTTCGGTAGCCTCTAGATTTTGCTCACGTTCCCTATAAAGTAGTCTATACAGGGTGAAATTTTGTTATGCTACCGGAATGGGAAACTTAATACTTTAAATGATTTAACCATTGGGTCTACCATTGAATTAGGAATTTAAGATTTCTTTGTTTTATTTACATTAAATTTATGAAGTTTGTTAAAGAAATTTCATGTTATGACCTGACCCAAAGTATTACTGGGTTATTAAAAAAATCTCAGTAGTAGCACGGAGTCTGGAATTGTACCCGGTATATGGCAATAGGCTCACCCCCTATTACATCGGACTTGTAACATAAATATTGAAAAGTGGGTGTAATATTGTACAGTGGCATAATGTGCACCTCCGCCTACTCCTTCGGGGATAAAGGCGTGATTTTATGTTATGTTACTTGCCCTTCAGATGGCATATCAATATTCCACCCTGTATATTATTCCATACAATTTACCAAATTTCATTCCGGTCTCGTCCCATTTTGAAGTGACTGAGTATCAAACATATGTCGGAATACTGAAACGTTACTCAATTTTAAGTCGTGCTCAAATATCGTGCCATCTCTGTCATTTTACAAAGAATTTGTAGAGATAGAACTATACTTAAACTGTCAAATACCAAGCGGTCACCGGTGACCGCGACCTATTGTTCTTTAATTGTGTCTATAAAACCGGTACTCGACGAGTTAAGCGTGACTTAAAATTGAGTAACGTTTCAGTATTCGGGCAATACACACAGATATTCGCTTTTATAATATAAGTTTGATATTAATATATTGTTTGTATCATAAAATATAAAAGGCTGTCTCCCAACATACCCAGGGCGAGCTTCCGATAGCCATGGCACTGGCCAACGTGGTCAGTACGTCACAGATGGATGAACTGGCACGAGTCTTCGTCACTCTTTTTGACGCCAAACATCTCCTGGCGCCGCTGTTGTGGAATATATTTTATAGAGAAGTCGAGGTTTGTATTTATTGTTATTTATTTTGGATACATTTGCAGGCATTTCAGAAGTACATACGTAGTGCCTTAATATACATTTTTAAGGTAATTTTAAGGTGTCTAAGCATAAAATAAAATTATTCAAAACCAAAATTAACAAAAACCTAAAATCGTGACAAAAGTTGCGGTTTCTTTCTAGCTTTTGTTATTAATAACATAATTTTGGTGTTGAATAATTTTATTTTATGCTCTTTCTTACATCTTAAAATATTTATTGTTGAAAACAATAAAAGTTTTAATTTTGTTTGGTTTTGTGTTAAATTTAAGAAATAAAATCACGAAACGAAATCAATTAATTGTTTTCTGTATTAATAACAATTATATTAAATGTTGTAGTAAGGAAGTCTCCACTTTTTGTTTTTGTTCCTTGAAGTTTAGTTAAATTAGCTCACCTTTTTCCGATCACTGGTCATTAGGCATAACCCACCAAATATACAAACATAAAAAAAAATTAAATACAAAATTAAAAAACAATAATTACATAAAATAACATTAAAAAAACATTAAAAAACAGCAGCGAAAAACAACAAAAGCAAATAAAAATATAAAAAAATAAAATAATCAAGAAACAGGGTGGCAGCATGCCCACGACGAAAGGGCTCGCCAACTCAGTGTAAGCTGCGTACAGTAAGTACCCAACACTGGTTTTCAGTTGGCACCCCTGCAGCGACGCACGGACGGAAACAACGAAAAATAATTGGAAGGAAAATAACACGATTACCCAAAATACATTATCTTCTTAAAAAAATAAAAGAAAGTTAAAAATAAATATACATACATAAACAAGTGTAAACGTGTACCGTCACCAAAGGAAAAAAATCTAGTATTAACATGAATTTCTTCGCCACAGGTTTCAGACTGCATGCAAACCTTATTCCGAGGCAATTCGCTGGGCAGCAAGATCATGGCATTCTGCTTCAAGATATATGGGTACGTGTACCTACAGAACCTGCTGGAGCCTCTCATCACGGCGCTGCTCGACCAGGCTGATGAGCGAGGGGATATCAGCTTCGAGGTCGATCCTGCTAGGTAAGACTTTTTGAGCTGTTTGTTTACTGTCTCGCCTGGTGGTAAGCGATGATACGGCGTTTAATGGACCATGTCTGCATAAGCAACCTTGTAGTATTTTCATCAAAAACAGATTTGTGACTGTTCGCAAGTGCGACTGCTGGCTACGGTGTCTCGGGTTCGATTCCCAGGTTGTGCAAAGTATTACTGGTGTTTTTTTTAAGTAGAATGGACTCTGGGATTGGGAACTTTACTCTTTGAAAACTGAATTAACTAAAAATTAATTATTAATTAGTAAATAAATTGAGAAAAGCTCTACTAGTTCCAAAAAGTCCATTTTTTTCATCATCCAACCGACGACGGACTGAATAAATTTTTAATTTTCATACCCTAAGAACTATCCTATTATGTCGCATTTCATAGGCACAACGCCAAGTATCGGATATAGATTTCTCTATATTCGTGCCGAGTATATATTTATCGCGTTTTTTACTTTTTAATGGAATAGAAAAGCAAACAAGCAAAGCCTAGTCACACAACACCAATAGAAATAACAAGTGCATTACCGACTCTATAGGGGTTAGAGATTTCCGCGGAGAACTTAATACTCGAGACTCCGGGAAGTACAGGAGTAGGAACGGGGTGGTTTTTAGTCAGTAAGAGTCTGCCACTTCCTCGCCTCACCCGGGCGGGACAAATCATTGGATGATTTTCCCCCCCTCAAAAAGGGGGTTAGACATTTGAGGATTCGGGGATATTGGGGGGTTTTGAGGGTGGGGGAGTTATATTTTTTTTTCTATATTCCAGATTAGACCCAAACCAAGACATAGAGATGAACAGGTCTAACCTAATAGACCTGACCAAGGAGGTCTTCGATAGAATAGTAGGGTCAGCAGAGAAGTTCCCGCCGCAATTGCGCAGCATGTGTCACTGTTTGTATCAGGTAATGTGAAATTAATTTTATTTTGTTTGATGTAGTATTGTGAATTATTTGCCTAATACACACGGTCACACATCAATCTATACAAAACCAGTTTATCCTGGTGTCGCGTCGCATCATCTTTCCGCATATTTAACGTTCAGTTTATACTGGTTATGTAAAGCTCGATGTGTAGCTGTGTGTACATTGTTTTCAGTTTTTTATGTTTCCAAAGACAATACAATCATAGACAATATTTATTTGTGTGAACAAGGTGGTGCTATATATTAAATTTGTAATACAAAATACATATTAATTAGTATTGAATTTTTATTTTTTTTTTTTGGTTAGATTTCATAATTTGGAACATAGAATAAAACAGGGGGCTCCGGATAAGAACGTATCCTAGTTAATCACTTGATATATCGTACCGAAATTCTCCACAATTTATTCATACAAAAGTAGTCTCTAAACATTGGAAATAAGGTCTACAATTAAGTGAGTTTTAGATAAGGTACGATGGGGTAGACGTATCGATATGGATAAAAACCCCCTAAAATAATAAAATTAAGGAGAATAAAAAAACAAAAATTAAGTGAGTGGAGAGCGGTCATCGGTCATCACTTGGGGATTCAAACTCAAACTCAAAAGCATTTATTTCAATTAAACCATAATTTGGTACTTTTGAAACGTCGACAAATATGAAATAAATAATTGTCTGTCAGTCTGTCCGTCAGTGAAGCTAGGCTAGGCTACGATTGAGTAGTGGTAATCCGGAGCTGCGGATAACTTACAGAGCTCCGGCTCTATGCAGGAGTAGGAACAGAGTTGTGTTTAGTCAGTAAGAGTCTGACAGTCATTTCATGAACCCCCCCCCCCCCCCCGTTGTGTTTAGTCAGTGAAGCCTTGTTGGCACTGCGCTAGTATTTTAATCGAGTAGCGAGTTTTTAGTAGCTCTGTCTCGCTTCGAGTCTGGGACAGAAGTGTGAGTGAACAGTGCGAATAAAGCTTAACCCCTCGAGCGTCCTTATGAGCACCCGGTGGATCATAAGAAAAAATGCTCCATGCTGCTTTCTCTTTTATAAAATCTATTATCAATATTTTGTTTTTATTTTGACTGTATTTTTTATTTCTATTGTAATTATCCTTGTTTTCGTGTGCCAATTACCAAATAAATGCATTTTCTTTCTTACTTTCTCCAAATGTCACGTGTGCACCCGTTGGATCATAAGGAACGCGGACGCTCGACGGGTTAAGAGTCTGACACTCCCTCTCGCATCACCGGATACAGTGGGAGGAGTCATTGATGATCCCCTCATCCCCTCCCCCCTCCCTTCTAAGTTAAATTTGATACCCAAAGTTAATGCAATCGTATTGCTTTTTTATCCCCCCCTCCCCCCTAATAACTTAGGGCAATAATTACATTAGGGACAATAATTAACTTAGGGCAATGATATAGGCAATTTTTTTTTTAGTTAAGTTTTTTACTTTATTTAGGTTAGTCCTTATTGTAATAAGCAATTGTTTTCAGGTACTCAGTAAGAGATTTGCCCAGTTCCCACAGACGAGCGTGGGTGCTGTCGGCACCGTACTCTTCCTTCGGTTTATCAATCCTGCCATTGGTGAGTTTGATTTCTTGTTGAGACATTTTCCACACATTTTTTCATGGTATAGGAGTATAATTACGAAAAAACTAATGCACGGTTGGTGCGGTGGCTGGGCAACCGGCTGCCGTGCAACGTGTCGCGGGTTCGATTCCCGCACGAAACAACACTTTGTGTGATCCACAAATTGTTGTTTCGGGTCTGGGTGTCATGTGTATGTGAACCTGTATGTTTGTAAACGCACCCACGACACAGGAGACAATCCGAGGGTGGGGAACCTATTTTAAAAAAAAAATTGGCAAAGATTTGATTATAAGTGGTTGTCCAATACCCGCAACATCAGAGGAGTTGCCATTGCAGTGCGAAACTGGCTTTTTGAGGAACAGGATTTCCTGCAGGAACAGGAAGGTGAACAGGTGTTTCCTCCAGTAGGGTCACAAAAACTATAAACAAGAGATTACGTTTTCAACATTTTTAGTAATAGATCAATTTAAAAATATACATAGTCTTGACGTTTAAATTTACCTAAGTCTAATTGTAATAAATAAATTGACGATTGACATACCTACCCTTCCCCCCTACAGTATCCCCCCAAGAGATGGGTATAGTGAACCGCCCAGTCCCGCCCCACGTGAAGCGCGGCCTGATGTTAATGTCAAAGATCCTGCAGAACATCGCCAACCACGTGGAGTTCTCCAAGGAACAACACATGTTGCCGTTCAATCACTTCCTTAGGGCGCACTTTGAGGCTGGCCGCAAGTGAGTATTGTCATTGTTACAAATACATAATAAGTAACTAGTGGCCCGCCCCGGCTTCGCAATGGGTGCAATATGCATGTATTATACATAAAAACCTTCTTTAAGAATCCCTCTATATAATAAAGGAAACCGCATCAAAATCCGTTGCGTAGTTTTAAAGATCTAAGCATACATAAGGACAGACAGACGGCGGAAAGCGACTTTGTTTTATACTATGTAGTCAATTCCATCAATTAACTAAAACTGCCTCGTTGGCTGAGTAGTCGTAAGTGTGACTGCCGGGCGAGGGGATTCGGGTTCGATTCCCGGGCATTACTGGTCTTTGTTTTTTTATTCACAGTAATAGCACGGAGTCTGGAATTGTGCCCGATAAATGGCAATACGCTCACCCCCTATTACATGGGACTCATAACATAAATAGTGAAAAGTGGGTGTTACATTGTACAGTGGCATTAAGTGCCTTTGCTTACCCCTTCGGGGATAAAACGCGTGATGTTATGTTCTAATATATTACTTATGTGAAAAAAGAAACTTCGAATCATATAGGACTCGAAACATTATAATCTGTTTGATTTTCTTGTTAATAAAATAAAGCAAAATAATGTATGCTAAGATATGAAAAAAATGTTGCCTTACGATGCTTTTTACTTAATTTTATAAAGTCTAGTTATAATTATTATTTAGAGATTTACTACACTAATTTCCAACTCAAACACCACTTAATTATAAGTCGCGTGAAAGTATAGTTGTGTCGCTACAAATTCTTTGTAAAATGACAGAGTTGCCACGATATTTAAGTACAAGTTAAAATTGAGTAGCCTTTTTGGTTCGAGCATAGATATAATACAATTTTTGATCATCGAAAATGCTTAGAATTATGGCCTATACATGTCACTACACTCGCTCTCTATTCTATGACTACTGACACCTCGAAGTAGATAGTAAAAAAATTACACTAAAATACTAAAAATAAAATATAAATCCACAGGTTTTTCATCCAAATCGCATCGGATTGCGAGTCAGTAGATCAAACATCACACAATCTGTCGTTCATAAGTGACGCAAATGTCGTCGCCTTGCATAGACTGCTATGGAACCATCAAGAGAGGATTGGAGACTATCTGTCCTGTAGCCGGGACCATAAGGCCGTTGGGAGAAGGCCTTTTGACAAGGTAAGGCTAAAAAAACAGGCAGTTCTAAGTTGATAGTGCTACGGCGTAGTTGTGTAGTATTACGGCATAGTTCGTGTAGCGCTACGGTGTAGTTGTTGTAGTGGGGACGATGTGGTACGGCATAATTGTAGTGCTACGGGTACGGCGTAGTTGCTGTAGTGCTAAGGCGTAGTTGCAGTATTGCTATGGTGTAGTTGGAGCTACGCCATAATTGTTGTAGTGCTACGGCGTAGTTGCTGTAGTGCTAAGGCGTAGTCGCAGTATTGCTACGGTGTAGTTGGAGCTACGCCATAATTGTTGTAGTGCTACGGCGTAGTTGTTGTAGTGCTAAGGCGTAGTTGCAGTATTGCTACGGTGAAGTTGAAGTTACGTCATAATTGTTGTAGTGTCACGGCGTAGTGACCGTTGTGGTGAGGCGTAGTTACCTTAGTGCTGCGGCGTAATTACTGTAGTGGTACGCCGTAGTTGCTGTATGCTACGCCATAGTGGGGTAACATTACGGTGAATTTGTATAGTGCTACGCCATAGTTGTAGTATTGGTACTCACCAACATTGCTATAGGACAATTGGAATAGACGCTCAGGGTACTATAATATTACAGCGTAGTTAAAGTGTAATGTTACTACGCACTACTTAAACTCCGTCGTAGTAATTAGAACTACGTCGTAACTCAATGGGTGCTACGCCGTAGTTGATGTAGCATTAATGCAATTTTGTCTCGTTTTAGATGGCGACATTGCTGGCTTACTTGGGACCGCCAGAACATAAGCCGATTGAATCGTAAGTATTAACACTGTAGCTACCATTAATTATTAAAATATTGTAGTTAAAAATTTGGTCCTTATTATTTGTAGTGTTTTTATAGATGAATTGTCACACGAGATCTAAATTATAACGATATGATAATAAATTAAGTAAAATCGCGGGTTACTCACGTGAATATACTGAGAAAAGCTCTACTAGTTTAAAAGTAAGTGAGCTGCGCGACGTCGCCGCGACCACGCACGCTGCTAATGAGGAAGAACCCCTCTGTGGTTCGAAACTGGTAGAGCTTTTCCCAATATATGTGAGTAACCCGTGGGATTTTACTTAAGTTAGTATGTCTCACGATAGTTATTATAAAAAGATATGATAATAAATTTTAATAAACAATAATACAATAAAATATATAAGTTTATTTAATGAATTAAATTTTCTGTGTACACACAATATTCATTATAATTAGGTAGGTTTTTTTTATTTGTATCGGCGATCAGTCGCAAGACTTATAAGCTGATGAGTTTAGTTGTTATGGCGTTATTCAAAACGTAGTTTCAATCATTAGTTGACGACAAGCTTTATTCTTTTATTTTCTAGTTAATTTTATTGAAATAAGTTAGTGTCCTATTTGACGCAAAAAATTGATGATGTCATATTGCGATGTCAATATAAATTTTATAGAAAAGTATCGTTTTTGATATTTCGATAAAAGAATTGATTTTGACTAGTTGTCAACTACCTTGTGTGAGCCTGTAGTAGCTCACACAAGAGGAATATCAATAGAATGTCACGGAAAGATTAATTACAGAGAGTTTGTCAAATAAAGTATACGTCAATACAGGTTGAATGCCTTTAACTCGTCGAGTACCGGTTTTATAGACACAATTAAAGAACAATAGGTCGCGGTCACCGGTGACCGCTTGGTGTTTGACAGTTTAATGCACTGTCTAACATGCGCTTGTAAAAATGTACACATTAATTAGGCCGATTTGGCAATAACACTCAACAGTTAAAATGCAAACAAACAAAAATGAATGAAAATGGCTTGTACATACCGTATTTAGTGAATATCATTTAAAATTATTAATTTTCTTCTTTCTCTATACCATAAATTAATACTATACCCTGTAATACCATGCTATACAGTACATACAATACGCTATACAATACGATACGAGACTATAGAATACATCGTACCACGTAAATACATTAAATTCAATACTGTCCTGTACTACATCATACCACATACATTCAACACATTACTAGAATGTAAATTTTTTCATTTCTCCAATACTAAAAAACCTTCAAATTTTAAAACAAGATGACTCTTACGCAGTCTCTCTTCCAGCACCTCGAGTCTCCTGTTCTCATCGTACGCGCGCTGGTCATCCATAGATATTTCTTCTACAAACTTCGAAGAGTTCATAGTAAAACATAATATGCATAAAAAAGAAGAATTCAAAAGTATAAAGAGCTTGAATATATTCTACCAAGCTGGGACTAGCAAGCTTGGGAACCCCGTGTTTTATTTTATATCTCGAAGATACAAGTAAGTGTTTGTTTATTCTTGTTAATGTTATTACTTTGTCTTGAATTAAATGTGAAAGTTTACTAAAAATCGCGGGTTACTCACATGAATATACTAAGAAAAACTACTATAGCAATGTCGCGCAGCCTACTCTAATAATATCGACCGCGCACGCTGCTTATAATGAAGGGCTCCCTCCGTGGCTCCCTCCCCTCTGTGGCTCGAAACTATCAAAGATTTTCTCAGTATATTCACGTGGGTAACCCGTGATTTTTAGTTAATTTTAGTATGCCTCACGATGGTTATTATAAATGTGAAAATTAAAGGTGAAGAATGATATGAATGAAAAGCAATATAAGTGGTATTTATAATAAAAATCTAAAAATGTCTCCTTGCTCAAGTAGAAACAAGTAAACAGTAAAAGGGTTCGACTCCCGTATCGAGCAGTTTTATTGGATTAGTAATGTAGTCCTTCTATAATGCTACGGCGTAGTTGCTGTAATGCTACGGCATAATAGCTATAGTGCTACGGCGTAATTGCTGTAGAGCTACGACGTAATTGCTGTAGTGCTACGGCGTAATTGCTGTAGAGCTACGGCGTAATTGCTGTAGTGCTACGATGTAGTTGGAGTAGTGCTACGGCGTAATTGCTGTAGTGCTACGGCGTAGTTGCAGTAGCGCTACGTGCTAAGTTGTATTAGATTTGTGCTAGGTAGGTATATGGTAACAGAACAGACCCACCCCTATTACAAAGTAGGTGTTACTTAGTTATAGTATACCTCTGCCTTCTAGGTGAATATCACCATGACATAATATTTATGATGAAGAAAATTCAACCGTAGGACCGCATTTTCAAAGATAATATAACACTTAATATGCCGTTACTCCAACAGAATAGGCGAGGTGAACGCCGACCTTCTAATCTACCACGTGATCCTGACCCTGAAGCCATTCTGCCAGCAGCCGTTCGAGCTGATAGTGGACTTCACGCACACCAACTCTGACAACAGGTTCAGGTGACGATCTCTTCGTAGATTAGGCTCGTTTGCATTAGTCGAATTTTCTACTTTACTACTTTGAAGATAAAGTACCTTTTCTCTTGATATTTAGTTAAATAGGTAAACACTTGATAGCTATAGGATAGAGTAGCTTTTCCCTTGACCTTTCCAGCCATTAATTGAGTTTTAATCTGCCTACTTTTAAGATAAGGTTGGTTTTCCCTTGCTCTATAGCCATTAGTCGACTTGTCAGCCTTACTACTTTTAGGATAGAGTATCTTTTCCCTTGATATTTAGTAAAGTAGGTAAACACTTGATAGCTAGAGGATAGAGTAGCTTTTCCCTTGCCCTCTCTAGCCTTTAGTTGAGTTTTAATCTTCCTACTTTTAAGATAAAGTTGGTTTTCCCTTGCCCTCTAGCCATTTAGTTGAGTTTTTAACCTTATTACGTCTAGGATAGAGATGATTTCCCCTTGCTGATAATTTGCTTTGGTTGATATATAGTCAAATAGGTAAGACCTTAGTAGTAATAGGATAGAGTACCTTTTCCCTTGCTCTCTAGCCATTAGTTGAGTTTTACCATTCCTACTTTTAGGATAAAGTTGATTTCCCCTTGCTAGCTGAAAATTTTTTTTGGTTAAAGGTAGGTTAGACCTTTGTAGCTATACCTCTAGGATATAGTAGCTTTTCCCTTGCTCTCTAGCCATTAACTGAGGCTTGAACCTTACTCCTTTTAGGATAAAGTTGGTTTACCCTTGTTCTCAAGCCATTAGCCTTTTTACTTTTAGGATAGATTAACTTTTCCCTTGCTAACAGAAACTTGTTCTAAAATTTTCTTTAGTACCCTTTTTAAAGATAGGTGGAACCTTATATACTAAAGAACAGAGTTCTATTTAACTTGCTTTAAAATGTTTTAAGGTCAGATTGTATAATGAGAATATTGTAGTACCCCTTGATAGCTGTAGAATAATCCTTGCCCTCGTTATATTGTTATTCAATATTCAACTTTCGCTATAAACTAATAAGGTTTAATTTTGTAATAATAATAACCTTAATTAGGCGTTTTTAAGTAGGGGACTTCTTGTAGACTAGATTTAGTTGATTAACGCTGACTCAAACGCTACTCAATTGCAAGTCGCGCTTATATAGTTCTGTCACTACAAATTCTTCGTAAAATGATAGAGATGGCACCATATTTAAGTACAACTTAAAATGGGGATGATGGCGGGGAATGAAAATTAAAAATATAATTACTCCGTAAGTTAGGTAATTAAAAAATAATTGGACACGTATTTTTTTAATTTTGTTTTATTTTATTATACATAAAACAATACTTAGATAAAACGAATCAAAGTTTAGGAGTGGGGGCTAGAACGTCATTTCTTATTATAAAATGAACTGAGAACTGACGTCACGCGACATTTCAAATCAATACATTTTCGAAACTATTCATTTCTGTAAGAAATAATATTATGCGTGTGTAATGTTTTCAAATAATCTACCAGACGGACATTAAAATAGAAATTAGTCGTCTACCCTATTTAGTAGTCTTTCAGTATTCGATCGTTAGGGTTTCAGATCCAACAATGAAATTATTTTCCATTCCTTTATCAAAATTTGTCTTTCGCTAGATGACAACCTTCTGTAGTTTCTATTAGTACATTTACTTAATTTCTAATCTTCCTTTTAGATATAACTTATCAATAGGATTTTTTGTTTTTCCGCTCAGTACAGTCAAATAGTATAGAGACCTAAATTTGGCCCCGTGTATGGCAATAGACTTAATAGGGGGTGTCTAGTGGGGTGATTTGGAGGGTGACTTGTGTGGGTGATTACATGGGGCTTTAACTCAGTAAAAAACCAGAGTCCGAAACTGGCCCTATGTATGGCAATAGGCCGAAGACTTACCCCCCACATGGGACTCATAACATAAATAGTAAACAGTGGGTGTTATATTATATATGTGCACCTCTGTCTACCTCTTTGGGGATAAAAAGGCGTGATGTTATGTTAATTCCAAGTCCTAAGCATGATCTAGCTGACATCTAGCATCGACTAGTGCGAATGAGCATTAACATAAGATGCTTGCTTATATTGCATGACTTGTCTATCGCTTTCTCTGCTATTTTATACAAAGGACGTTCAAAAAATGGCGGGCGTAATGTAACTTAGAAATGATACATCAACAGCCTATAAATGCCCACTGCTGTGCAAAGCCTCTTCTCACACGGAGAATGTTTGAGCATCAATCACCAGGCTCGCTCAATGCGGGTTGGCGATTTCAAACTTATAATTAAAAATTATAAGCCCAGTTTGCTTGCTCTTGAAATCAATCTCAATGTCAATGCAATTTTAATCCAATAGAATCTTAATAATTATTCAATGACAAACCTATACAACCCTAATCGTAGCTGTTACAATAGCATTCAGAGTACGGAATATAAAGCCAAACTCAATACCATTTAGTTCATTCAATATCCACGCAATACGGATGCAATCGGCGGTAGTGTTGCAACTCAAGAGTACGAAATTTCACAATACCAATGTCGATCGATCGGAATTGGATTCAAGAGTAAGCCCCTAGGTTTCCTCACGATTTTTCCCTTGACCGTTTGTCAGTGGTGTCTAAATAATCTTAGAAAGTACATATAACTTGGAAAAAGTCGCATTGATACTTGCCGTTGCTTTTGAAACCGCACTCTCATGCATGAGAAGCGGGCATCTTAAACTCAGCCACCACGACACTTAGAAATGATTGAGAACCTAAATTGTCTGTGGTATATTTATGTGTGCGTGTGTAGCATCCACGTTACCAGACTTAAGAAGATGGCAGACGTTCTTCGTGTCAATGTGTGTCTATAGTAACCAGCAGATGTAGCCAAATGCCATTTAGCGCTTGTCTACATGTAGAATAGAAAACCAAATTATATGGAATTGACGTAAATGACAATGCCAGATCCTGACCCAGTCATACTATCATTTACAAAAAAGTAAATTGATGAAAATAATTTAGACGAATAAGGAACCTTTTTGCAATAATCTTTTTATTTTTAAACTTGCGGTTTATAATATAATAAAAAAAGAAGTTCAATCCCGGAAATACTTTTTTGCAATGCGCATTCCATATTGTCTAATGTCTATTTGCAATACGTCATACGCATCGCTTGTACGAAACTGAAAATAAAAAAGTAAGTAAGTGTAAAAAACATATCATTATACATAAAATATTATATCAAGAGTATAATTTTGCATAACTTATTCATTTATTTATAATTTCAGATGAAATTGCGGACAATCATGAAAATATAAAAGAAACGATTACTATCATTAGTTATGATTTTTTTGTGTAACGAAACGTTTTGAAGTGCTCGTCAGCTGTCAGCTGTCAATATTACCTTTCATTCGCTCTCTGCGTTTCCGTTGTTTTCGCGTTATGTTTTCATTATTGTTTTGTGTTTTAAACAAAAACCGCAAGTTTTACAGGCTTCAGGACAAATGTTTACGTATCGGTAATTAATACACAACACGATGCTGAATACTGCATACTTGTACATGACTTCAATATAGTGGGTCAAAGATGTTACTGAGCACCTGGCATTGTCCTTTTGACACTTGTCAGTGTCATCCCCATACATTTTTATTTCTACTCTCTATGTAGACAAGCGCTAAAGTGGCGTTTGGCTAAAGGCCTAGAAGCCACAGACGTTGTTTTAAGAGACTGTGTCTGCCTTTTTTAACGTTCTTTTGTTATACTTATTACTATTTCTTTCTATGTAATACTTCTTTCGTTTATCGACTGTTAAGTAAAAAGTTTTGAAACGATTCCCGCGTCAAAAATTTACTGGTTCATTAATTGACTGACACTATTCAAGATTTCGATTCGTTATCGAAATTCTAGATTGCAATAAACTGATAAAATGAATAAATCTTCTCCTCTTATAATATCTTCTGATTCACTTCGTTGCGGGAACCAAAACAGTTACTCATGTCCCTGGGACGCGCCGGACTTCAGTGTTCCGGTGTTTTCATGGTTGTATCTACTGTAGATCCTAGCTTACAGGAGTTGCAGCGGTTTTGGGAGGTTGTGGCGGGGTCGTCAAAAAAAAAAAGTTAATAAATATTAAGATAGACTTCTTCTTCTTCTTCTTATATAGACTTGCTAACAAGATATTTTTGGGTTCGATTCCCTAGCCGAACGAGACATTACTAAGCTTGTGTGTTATTCAATAGACAATAATACCACAGAGTTAGAATTTTTAACCAAGTTTCTGCGGGATCGATTCCCAATACCAGTAAAGTATTTTCGGTTATTCAAAACACGCAGTCTAAAATAGTTACCCATATTTTTTTATGGAATAAGCTAGTAAACGAGCAGACGGATCACTTGATGGTAAGCAATTGGCGTCGCCAATGTACACCCGCAACACCAGAGGCGTAACAAGTGCTTTACCAGCCTTTTGGGGATTAGGAATTTGACGATTCTTGGGGATTCGGGGATTGGGGAGATCGGACCTCCGGTAACCTCACTCACACGACGAAACACATCCCTGTGGTTGCTGCACATCGGTTTACTGCTCGGCCGTGGTATCACTCCGGTCGAGCTGGCCCATTCGTGCCGAAGCATGGCTATCCCACACTCGCCATATGTATGGCAATTGCCTAACGACATATAAAATGATATAGTGAAAATATATTCAAGAAACAACATAATGATATCTACGTAATATAAGTTATTTATATAGATACTAAAAGCTAGGGCTTCATAATTCTGTATAATTTCAGGACGGATTTCCTACAGAAATGGTTTACAGTGCTGCCTGAAGTTGCGTATATAAATATTCATGCCTGCTACATATATAACTGTAACAGCTGGGTGAGGGAGTATACGAAGTTCCATGAAGCTATACTCGCGCCTTTAAGGGTAAGTAGTGTTTGATAACATTAATATAATTATGCGTAAATTGCAAACAATATAATATACTTAACGATTAGGCAAAGCGAAATATTGTAATTTTTATTCCCTACAATTATTTTACTGGGCTTTTATATCCAAATTCATTAATAATAAACAAAGTTATTGCACTTATAAATTTTATTTGTCCACCAAGTTTGACTCTCAATAACATGGTTTAAAAGTGGTGCGATGGCTTTTCTTGTTCATTTTTCTCCATATATGAATCAAAATTTTTAAACGAGGGAAACTAATACATTTAACTGCCTGACTGGTGGAATATTTATTTTGAAATCACAAAAGTCCCTGTATATTTAGTTCAAATACATAACTTTGACTTTTCAAACAACTTGCGCAAACTAATACTACTTGCGCAAAAATGCGCAAAACCAATTCTCACTGTTACACCATACTATAACTCTAAATGACCACAAATTTACTTTCCAGGGTAACCGCAAGCTAGTATTCATAGATAATCATAGCAGATTGTCAGAATACGTAGAGGTGGAACAACAGAAGCTGCCAGGCGCCACTCTAGCGCTGGAAGAGGACTTAAAAGTGTTTAATAATGCCCTGAAATTATCACATAAGGATACTAAAGTCGCTATTAAGGTGAGATGACTATTTATACTTTAATACAGTTGATTACACAGTAAGCAACTGGCTGTCGCGCAACGTGTCAGGTTTTGATTCCCGTACGGAACAACTCTTTGTGTGATCCACAAAGACGATACAGGAGAAGATCCTAGTGTGGGGCAGGGTTTTTAAAATAAGTAATAATAATATGGGTTGAATGAAGTAATTCGCAGCTCCGGCTCTATGCAGGAGTAGGAACGGGGTGGTGTTTAGTCAGTAAGAGTCTGACACTTCCTCTCCTCACCCAGGCGGGAGAAGTCGTTGGATTATTCTAATTATGACTTCAATAACATAGTAAGAATAAGTACTAATTACTTATTTAAGTATTGTTAGTTATTTTCTCAGTACAATAACAAAACAAAGCCTATTTAACTGACTTCAAAAAGAAAAATGAGTAGGTTTCCCGTTTGGCTTGTTTTTTTTTTTATATTTGATGGGCCAACGTTTGTGTGTATGTGTGTATGTATGAATGTATGTGTGTTTTCATGTTTGTGTGTGTTTATCTCGCGATTTTCTGAACCAATTTTGATGCGGTTTTCATAAAAGTGTTTGTTAGACTTAGGAGAAGGTTTTAGTATATTAATTAACCGATTTCAATTGTGTCCAAAGGCGATTGAAGTCAGTTTTTTTAAACGTGGTTTATAGTATTATCTGTTTCTCTATTTCCGTTTTATATCAGCAGCTGTAGCCAATAGCCATTTAGCGCTTGTCTACATGTAGAATAGAAAACCAAATTATACTAGCTTTTACCCGCGGTTTCGTTCGCGTCACAAAAGGATAAAACGTAGCCTATGTTACATATACCAATACACACAGCGCCATCTATACCAATAATTTCGTTTTTCTTCGAGAATATCAAATTTTTCTGGGAAAAAATGTACCCAATTATTTAATCCAGACTTCTAACTTCACGTCTGCAAAAATTCAAAGCAATCGGTTTAGTAGTTACGGCGTGAAAGTGGAACAAACAAACAAACTCACTTTCCGATTTATAATATTCATTATATATATTATATTATTATATATTGTAAGGATTGACGTAAAGGAGATTGACCAAAAGCAGTCTAGCAAAGTTTCAAGTTGAAAAATCAAAATAATATAGAAATAATTTTCTTATTTTTTACAACCTTTTCACTTCAGGAATTGTATATTCGTATCCGGAATTATGATGATAAGATTAATAGTAACATAAAAATTGCTATGGAATTTCCGTTTCAAGGACATTGACGTTCCGTGCTAACTTACGAATAAAACTTCGTGTTTACGAATCACGTAAGTAGAACCTTTCGGCAAAATCATCACAAAAATTATATCAACTTCAATAAATAGCTAAATAATTTGTAATATCAATACATTTTACAATGTATTTATTTAGTATTTTGTAGTATAGTTACAATTATAATTATTTTTGTGTTCCGTCTCACGCAGAAGCAACTGTCATAACACGTGACAGACAGAGTGGCGGCATTTGGATTGTAAGGAAAACTGTTTCTGTTTCACTGTTTGAGTGTTTGTTTTGAACTTTTGAATAAATAAGCGTGAGTTCCATGTAGCATACGACAAGACGTTTTTATGTTTAGTTAAGTTTTATATACGCCAAAACGTTTTATGTGTTGTGTTTAGTTGTAATGTGTTGCGGTCACCGGTGACCGCACGGTGTTTGACAGTTTAAACATAATTTTAGGTTATTTTCGTTTTTGTCTAATTACTTAAAAACCCGGATATTTATGGGAAAATTAACGCTTTTATTCGATAATATAATAAGCATGGTCTATAATAAATAAAAATTTATTGTGCAACAACGTAAGACGAAATTCCATAGTTACGTGAACATTCTCCTTTTGACACTTGTCAGTGTCATCCCCATACATTTAGTTTTCGACTCTCTCTGTAGACAAACGCTAAAGTGGTGTTTGGCTAAACGCACACTATACTCTTTTAGTTATAGTTATTAAAATAAATAATAATGTCATGTTTCCTTTCCAGGTCGGACCAACAGCTTTACAAATAACTTCAGTAGAGAAGACCAAAGTCCTCGGTCTACCCGTTCTACTGAACGACGTCTACTATGCTTCGGAAATAGACGAGGTAAGTAAAAGACTAGCTTATATGATAACATTATATGAATATATTTTTGCAGTTTTGATATAAGCTGTGTAGTGACGACAAAAATGAATACTTAGTCACCATCTCTGCTCTTCTCGTGGGTATCATAAGATAATTACCGGTCAGTTTCATCTTTAAAAAAGTCTATCTATATTAAGATAATGTCTGTAATATGGTCTACAGACCAGAAGGTCAAGTCGTAATGATCTAAATATTTGACATAGACCTGGCAGCAGCGCTCACTGATGATAGGTTCATCAGTGAGCGCTGCTGCCTTTTTAGAATGTGATCTCCAACCCTCCTGCTAAGTGTAGAGACTGGAGATTATAGTAACTCACTCTTATGTAGAGAAAGCCTACAAAGACTTTAAATTTTGGCTTTGACTTTCGAGCAAGAGGCCTCGGGTGCAATTTCTAGATCGAGCAAAGTGCTATTGAGATTTTTGTACGCCCACAGTCATTCCTTCTTATGTAAAGAAGGCCCATAAAGACTTTAAATTTTGACTTTGACTTTCGAGTAGGCCTCGGGTGCAATTTCTAGATTTAGCAAAATGCTGTTGGGCTTTTTGTACGCCCACAGTCACTCCCACTTATATAGAGAAGGCCCATAAAGACTTTAAATTTTGACTTTGACTTTCAAGTAGGCCTCGGGTGCAATTTCTAGATTTAGCAAAATGCTGTTGGGCTTTTTGTACGCCCACAGTCACTCCCACTTATATAGAGAAGGCCCATAAAGACTTTAAATTTTGACTTTGACTTTCGAGTAGGCCTCGGGTGCAATTTCTAGATTTAGCAAAATGCTGTTGGGCTTTTTGTACGCCCACAGTCACTCCCACTTATATAGAGAAGGCCCATAAAGACTTTAAATTTTGACTTTGACTTTCGAGTAGGCCTCGGGTGCAATTTCTAGATTTAGGAAAATGCTGTTGGGCTTTTTGTACGCCCACAGTCACTCCCACTTATATAGAGAAGGCCCATAAAGACTTTAAATTTTGACTTTGACTTTCGAGTAGGCCTCCGGTGCAATTTCTAGATTTAGCAAAATGCTGTTGGGCTTTTTGTACGCCCACAGTCACTCCCACTTATATAGAGAAGGCCCATAAAGACTTTAAATTTTGACTTTGACTTTCGAGCAAGGGGTCTCGGGTGCAATTTCTTGATCAAGGAAAGTGCTATTGGGTTTCTTGTACGCCCGCCCACAGTCACTCCCACATACATAGAAGGCCCATGAAGATTTTAAATTTTGACATTGACTTTGACTTTCGAACAAGGGGCCTCGGGTGCAATTTCTAGATCGAGCAAAATGCTTTTTGTACTCCCACAGTCACTCTCACATACAGATAAGGCCCATAAAGACTTTAAATTTTGACTTTGACTTTGACTTTCGAGCAAGGGAGCCTCGGGTGAATTTCTAGATCGAGCAAAATGCTTTTTGTACTCCCACAGTCACTCTCACATACAGATAAGGCCCATGAAGACTTTAAATTTTGACTTTGACTTTGACTTTCGAGCAAGGGAGCCTCGGGTGAATTTCTAGATCGAGCAAAGTGCTATTGGGCTTTTCGTACACCCACTGTCACTCCCTCTTATATAGAGAAGGCCCATAAAGACTAAATTTTGACTTTGACTTTGACTTGCAAGCAAGCCTCGGGCGCAATTTTTAGATTTAGCAAAATGCTGTTGGCCTTTTTGTACGCCCACAGTCACCTCTTATGTAGAGAAGGCCCATAAAGACTAAATTTTGACTTTGACTTTCGAGCAAGGGGCCTCGTGTGCAATTTCTAGATCGAGCAAAGTGCTATTAGGCTTTTTGTACGCCCACAGTCACCCCCTCTTATGTAGAGAAGGCCCATAAAGACTTTAAATTTTGACTTTGACTTTGACTTTCGAACAAGGAGTCTTGAGTGCAATTTCTAGATCGAGCAAAGTGCTATTGGGCTTTTTGTACTCCCACAGTCACTCCCTCTTATGTAGAGAAGGCCCATAAAGACTTTAAATTTTGACTTTGACTTTCGAACAAGGGGTCTTGAGTGCAATTTCTAGATCGAGCAAAGTGCTATTGGGCTTTTTGTACTCCCACAGTCACTCCCACTTATATAGAGAAGGCCCATAAAGACTTTAAGTTTTGACTTTGACTTTGACTTTAGAGCAAGGGGCCTCAGGTGCAATTTCTTGATCAAGCAAAGTGCTATTGGGTTTCTTGTACGCCCACAGTCACCCCCTCTTATGTAGAGAAGGCCCATAAAGACTTTAAATTTTGACTTTGACTTTCGAGTAGGCCTCGGGTGCAATTTCTAGATTTAGCAAAATGCTGTTGGGCTTTTTGTACGCCCACAGTCACTCCCTCTTATGTAAGGAAGGCCCATAAAGACTTTAAATTTTGACTTTGACTTTCAAGCAAGGGGCCTCGTGTGCAATTTCTAGATCGAGCAAAGTGCTATTAGGCTTTTAGTACGCCCACAGTCACTCCCTCTTAAGAAAAGAAGGCCCACAAAGACTTTAAATTTTGAATTTGACTTTAACTTTCGAGCAGGCCTCTGGTGCAATTTCTAGATCGAGCAAAGTGCTATTGGGGTTCTTGTACGGCCACAGTCCAAAGAAGATGATGATGATAATGATTTTGTCGACAGGTGTGCCTCGTTGATGACAACCAGTTCTCACTCTCGATCATCAATGAATCGACTCCTTTGAGCTTCATACACAACGACTGCGATAATATAGTGCAGTCCATCATACATATACGGAACCGATGGGAGCTTAGTCAGCCTGTAAGTATATATTTTATGGGATAAGCCGGTAAACGAGCAGACGGATCACCTGATGGTAAGCAATCGGCGTCGTCGATGGGCACCGGGACACCAGAGGCGCTACAAGTGCGTTACCGGCCTTGTGTGTGCGGCTATTGATAGTTCTTGGATTCGATTCCCAGCTTGGACGAAGTAGACGGAAGTATTTTTCGGTTTTTTGAAAATTACTCAGACACACCTCAAAGTCTGAAAATGCATATTAGGTACCTAGGTAATGTATATAGGACTCATAACATAACAAATGAATTGTAAATGTACGCCTCTACCTAGCTTTTCAGTAAATAATAGGTGTGATGGTATGTTATACACTCTAAAACTGTTATTACCAAACTCTATGACAAACATCTTAGACTAAAACCAAAGAAGCTTACAATATAGAACAAAAAGTATTATTAACCCGTTGAAATCCCCTAAATTTGGTCATATAAAAATAGTCTCTAAACATTGGAAATAAGGTCTATATTGTAATGTAATATTAGGGGAGAGCGGTCACCGGTGACCGCTTGGGATCTATAGGTTAAAACATTTGTTTTTCTCTAGGACTCAGTGACAGTCCACCAAAAAATACGTCCAAAGGACGTCCCCGGCACGTTACTGAACATGGCCCTCCTGAACCTCGGCTCTTGCGACCCCAACCTGCGCACGGCCGCCTACAACCAACTCTGTGCGCTCACCGCTACCTTCCATCTCAAGATCGAAGGACAACTGCTCGAGACTTCTGGTGAGTTCTAAATATAGTTAATAATAATATATCCCTCTGCATCTGTAGTCGATCATTCTCTGTTTTTAACCGACTTCAAAAAAAGGATGAGGTTTTCAATTCGATTGTATATATGCTTTTTTTACTAATATTCTTTATTCAATCTCTCCCCCTTTTCTTCTACCCTTTCCCCCTCCGCCTCCCCTTCCCTCTAACCCCTCTGCCCCTCCACCCTTCTCTTTTTTCCTTTCTCTTCGGATTCGGAGATTGGGGGATTGGGGAGACTGGGGAAGCGGGTGGGGGGGGAGGGTAATTGGGACTCCGGTAACCTTACTCAGACGACGAAACATAACAGAAGCGTTATTTCACGTCGGTTTTCACCGGAGTGATACCACGGCCGAGCAGACCCATGCGTCCCCAAGCATGGCTCTCCCACACTTAAATAGATTAATAATTCGCGATAGTTATATTCGTATTTTGTTTATAGGCCTATGCATTCCGTCCAACAACACGATATTCATAAAGTCGGTGAGCGAGAAGCTGGCGCACAATGAGCCACACCTCACGCTCGAGTTCCTCGAGGAGTGTATACAGGTACGCGTTCATATCTTCATATTGTAACGATTACAAACTGAATTTAAAATATCTAATTTTTGAGTGCAATATATTTGCGTTTGCATAGTTTTGATTGTAGATTTTAAATAAATGTAGGAAAAATATACAGCATGTGAAAAAAGTATCTTTATTGAACATTACTTTTTAGGTCATTTTTCCAACATAAAAGTAGCTTATGTTACTCTTTAGTACATCAGCTACCTGCACATAAAAGTCTTGCACAATCGGTCTAGCCATTCCAGAGATAAGCCAGTACAAAGAGAATAGATAAATATAAAAAAAATCTAATATAAAAAAAGAAGATATATGACATCTTTATTAATAAAAATAAAACTTTAGTGAGACATACTAAATGAATTATTATGTTTTCGGCTTACTCACGTAACTTTCAAGCTGTGTAGCGAGTCGCGGAATGCTGCTCATGAATATGATCCTCTAGCATAGCTTGAGTCGCGGAGAACCTGACGGGTTACCGGGGCTCCGGCTCGACGTGCAGGAGAAGGAACGGGGTGGTTTTTAGTCAGTAAGAGTCTGACACTCCGTCCTCACCCAGGCGGGAGCATTCGAAGATTTTCCACCTTTAAAAAAAAGCATGGTTTGAAACGAAAACATAATAATTATTTCTCTATTTGTTATTTTGTTTATAACTTGCGTTTATATTTGTTCAGGGTTTCCGAGGATCTACAATTGAGCTCAAGCATTTATGCTTAGAGTACATGACGCCATGGTTGGCCAACTTAGTTAGGTAAGTCGATGAACTATATGTAAGTGCCAAGCACGAATAACTATCGCATTTGTAACGTATAGTATCGAGCGCGTTCGGCGCTCTAATTGGCCGGCTCAAGTGAACCAACCAATCAGAACGCTTAACTCGCTCGATACTGTTACGATACGAATGCGATAGTTATTCGTGCTTGGCCCTCTGTTGGGGTGTGAAGCTGGTTATCGAATATAGGTATTGAAACTCAGTGTACTGTGTATAAATTAATCCATATTGTACGGAAGTATACATAGTTGGCAGAGTCTTCATAACCTATCTCTTTTGTATTTGAATATTTGATTGCACATATATACTTATTTATTTATATATATGTGTGTATTAATTTTTATATATATATTTATGTTAATGGATAGTTGTATGTATTCATCTTTATCTGTGTTTATGATATTGGTATAGGTATATGTATTCTGTCATTTTATAAACTATACCTATTAGATACTCTTAAGTTCTCAACTTATTCCACCGAAAACGCTTTCACTGAATCACCTAAATATAAATTTTCCTAAAACATATATAAATTTTCCTCTACAGATTCTGCAAGCCATCAGAAGAATCGAGACGTCAAAAGCAAGTGGCACAGATATTAGAAAAATTGATAACATTGACTATAGAGGAGACTGAGATGTATCCGTCAGTGCAGGCCAAGATATGGGGCTCTATTGGCCAGGTCCCCGAGCTTATTGATATGGTGCTCGACAGCTTCATACAGAGGAGCGTCAATTCTGGTAAGGAAATTAATAAACTGCCTCATTGGCCAATCTTTGAAATTAAACTGTCAAACACCAAGCGGACACCGGTGACCGCGACCTATTGTTCTTTAATTGTGTCTATAAAACCGGTACTCGACGAGTTAAACAATAATAACCTTTATTTATTAAGTAATAATATTGGTTTTGTTATAGGCCTTGGATCCCCAATGATAGAAATAATGGCTGATACCGCCGTAGCCCTGGCCTCAGCTAACGTCCAGCTAGTCTCCAAGAAAGTCATCGGTCGCATGTGCAGGGTAAGTCGTTGTTACCGAGGTTTGGAAATGGATGGGTGGGCGTTTTGTTTTTGTTTTGATAGTGGATTTTTTATGAGAGGTCAGGCTATAGTGTTATGAGTAGTTTGGTTCGTAGATTACTTTTTAATGCAATAAGATATTCAAAAATATTTATATTTTAATTTTGACATTCTGGAAAATGTCAATGTTTGTAAAAGTAATTTTTAGATATTAATAATATTCGTAGTAATTTTAACATATTTTTAACGTCCATCTTTGTGTATGATCTATAAATTGACCTCTCAAAAATCTATTATCTGTAGGTACAAAAAAAAAATTACAATTTTCAAAAAGATAAAATAGTTCTGTTTTTATACTAACTATCGTGAGACATACTAAGTTAACTAAAAATCACGAGTTACTCACGTGAATATATTGAGAAAAGCTCTATTAGTTTCGAGTTACAGAGGGGTTCTTCCTCATGAGCAGCGTGCGCAGTCGCGGCCATGTCGCGCACCCTACCAACAATACGATCGCGCACTCGGCTCATGAGGAAAAGCCCCTCTGTGCGTCGAAACTAGTAGAGCTTTTTCAAATGAGTAACCCGCGATTTTTAGTTAATTTTAAAACTTGAATGAAACTAAATGTTATAATATTAGTTTTCATCAATGCATGACTGTGTTGCCATCTAATTATGTATTTAATTGCTATCATACAAAATATTATATTTGACACTGTACTGCAAGGGTCTAAGCAGAAATGTTATGTTTAACATACGATTACGGTTTTATTGAGACGGAGCTCCGAGTTCGTTGCGGCCATTTCTTCAGAGTCTAAGTCAGTTAGGGAATGTCAACATCAACATCAACATCATCATCGTCATCAACAGCCTATAAATGCCCACTGCTGAGCAAAGCCTCTTCTCACATGGTGAAGGTTTGAGCAGTAATCAACACCGCTTGCTCAAAGCGGGTTGGCGATTCCAAACTTATAATTAGAAATTATAAGCTCAGGTTTCCTGTTGTTTTCCTTCACCGTTTGTCAGTACTTTCTACGATTATGTAATAATCGTAGAAAGTACATATAACTCGGAAAGAGTCACATTGGTACTTGCCGTTGGCAGGTTACGAACCCGCAACCTCATGCATGAGAAGCGGGCGTGTCAAACCACCAGACAGACCTCATCGTTCGCTTGAAATGTTGACATGTAAAAGTGCTGCCTTGTAGCCTATTTGCAGAAATATATTTACATGTTTCACTTGTATTCTCTGATAGATTAGATGGAAGTGCTGTATTGTGCCGACGTATTATTACATTTTGAATTAAAAAAATATTGTATAAAAGCACCTGTGATAGTTTGTTAGACTGTGGGCGTCTTCTACATTAGGGAGTCAAACATAATCTCCATACTTGGCAGGCGAGTTGGAGGTCATAGCTTAAACTGTCAAACACCGCGATGACACCGGTGACCGCAACCTATTGTTCTTTAATTGTGTCTATAATGACGGTACTCAAAGAGTTAAATTTAAAACGTTCAGGTGCTGATCTGCCCAGTTAGGACCGTTATGGGAACAGTACCCGCGAGATGAGTAAAGGTTGTTAATATCACCGTATATCTCATGTTAATCTGTCAAACACCAAGCGGTCACCGGTGACCGCGACCTATTGTTCTTTAATTGTGTCTATAAAACCGGTACTCGACGAGTTAATTGTAATTGATCTGCTTAAGACCTTTTTGGGTGAAGTTAGTGCATATTATCGTTATCGTTCTCATCATCATCATCCGAATGGGCCGGCTCGACCGGAGTGATACCACGGCCGAGCAGAAAACCGACTTTAAACAACGCTTTTAAGTTAAGTTTCCAAGTAAATTAACATAGAAAAATTCAAAGTTACAACGATCTGTCACCACGGATGGGGCCCAATAGGGCTGATGACGGAACCGCGGAGGACTTAACGGGTTGCCGGGGCTCCGGCTCGAAGTGCAGGACTAGGAACGGGATGGTTTTTAATCAGTACTAGCGACCCGACCAGGCTTCGCACGGGTGCAATATGCATATATTATACATATAAACCTTCCTTAAGAATCACTCTATCTACTAAAAAAACTGCATCAAAATCCGTTGCGTAGTTTTAAAGATCTAAGCATACATAGGGACAGACGGACGGCAGATAGCGACTTTGTTTTATACTATGTAGTGATGACACTCCCTCCCGCTTCACCCAGGCGGAAAAAGCAATTCGATGACATTACCTCCTTAAACAAAAATTATAAAAAGAAACAGTATCACCTCGCCTGGTCGAAACAACCCTTTCCTAGCTTAGAAAACATAACACCATGTTCAAAGTACTAACTTCATCTTATTAACCGTCTTAGTAAGTGTCAAATGACGAACCACCATTTTGAATAACCTATCTATAGACTGGCTTACTATATAAAGATAACAATCCTATATTATAACGAAAGTTTGTATATTTCTCACTCCTTCTGCCTGCCTCGTTGGCCGAGTGGTCGCACGTACGACTGTGCCGCTGTGTCGGCAAAGTATTACTGTGTTTTGAAAAAAAAAACTCTCAATAGTAGCACGGAGTCTGAAATTGTGCCCGGTATATGGCAATAAGCTCAGCCCCTATTACATGGGACTCATAACATAAATGGTGAAATGTGGGTGTTACATTGTACAGTGGCATTAAGTGCCGTAATGTGCACCCCTGCCTATCCCTTCAGGGATAACATCCACATTTCACAATGTAACATCCACTTTTCACTATTTATGTTATGATTACCATGTAATAGGGGCGAGCCTATTGCCATATACCGGGCATATTTCCAGACTCCGTGCTACTACTGAGAATTTTTTAAAACAAACCCAATAATACCTACTTTGCTTACCCGAAAATCGTATCCAAGACCCCTTGCCCGGCAGTCGCACTTGCGACCACTCGGCCAACGAGGCTGTCATTCACGACACAAGCAATGTCCGACTTTTTACACTAATTAAAGTAAATTTACTGAGCATTTCGACAGTCGAAAAAAAAACACATTTTACTCAACACACTTATCAAAATCTGTAATCTGTGTCATATATTCATATATTTGTATATGTTGTGTATATATGTATATTGCATAGTATGTGTAAGTAAGTACATAGTATATTATATGTTGTCTCTGTCACAGGCCCTATCTAAACTGCCCAATAATATCCTGGGTCCTGTCACCCCGGCCACTGTGAGTTTTTTTTTCATTACGACAACTTTTTATTTTAATTTTAGTTTCTTTTGATTTTAGTTTTAGTTTCTTTATTTTTTAGTGAGACGGTTTTTTGTGCACTTTTTGTTTTGTTTTTTTTCTTTAGTGTTGCTTTTTGGCGAGTTTTTTTTTTGTATAGATTGAGGATGTCACGCCTTTTTGTGAAGGGGTCTGGCTGTGGTAAGGTAGGTATGCACAGTATACTATACTCAGAATTTTGATTAGATTCCATATTTGACAATTACAGTGTTGCAACGTTATGACAAGTACTAAATAGTGACGTTGCCAAATTATTCGACACGGAAATGGAATATTACCGGATCGATGCTTCTCGTTTATAATTTTACTCTCGTAAACTAAGAATATCAGGAAATTAAATATTTCTGACCGATAATTTAGTTTTGACGATTAATTAACGATCTGAGACTTTTCTTTTATAATTGTGTGTGAAATAAATAAAAAAGTAATGATGAAGAAACATGACAAATAGAACAGATAGATGTATTATGGTAATAATTTATTTTAAAAATTTTCGCCGTCATCGCTATCGCTATCGCTGTCACTTTCTGTAACATTTATTGTAAAACACACACACTGATTGTTTATCGATTTTTGTGTTCATCACTACACTATTATATTTGGTATCATTATTTCACAAAATGACAGTACCTAATGTCAAATCTGAAATCGAATTAAAATTCCGACTATAAATTTGTCTCCTGTTATGTTATTAATCCAATTTAAGAAATCAAGCAATTTGCTTCGTGTCGAAATACTAGGTTCGAAATACTCAGAATTTAATATCGTAACGTTCAACACTTTGGATTTCTTCAATGAAATTCATGTTGCGGTTTCAGCTATCTACCAACAGCGCACTTTGATTTTATGTAGATATATAAAATAATTCTAGAATATTGTAATAACTAAAATATTTTACGATATCTAGCAAAACTAAGCGCTTATTTTGGGTAAGCATTATCTCTAAGATTTAGTTATACTTGAATTAAATAAAAAAAATCTATACACACTATTATTGATTATTGTCTACGCAATATAACTGTGGAATGAATTGCGATGATGACAGAGTATGAAAATTAAAAATCTATTTAGTCCGTAAGTTAGGTAATGAAAAAATATTAGACACGTATTTATTTATCTATTTTCTCGTATAATAAAACAATACTTACATAAAACGAATCAAAGTTTAGGAGTGAGGGCTAAAACCTCATTTCTACGTATAAAATGTACATAGAAGTGACGTTACGCGACATTTCAAATCAATATATCGTCGAAAGTATTCGTTTCTGTAAGAAAATAAAAAATACGTGTCTAATGATCGACGAATAAGACGGACATTAAAATAAAAATTCGGCAACTACCCTATTGACACCTGCGGTATTTCTAAACCATACAACCAATAAGAAAATACCGTAGGTACTAGAAAAGACATCAGCGCACTTGCATCCAAGTGCATTGTTTTACGTTTAGGCAATCGATACGTTAGTCAGAATACACCAGAAAGCTGAGTACAACTTGTTTTTACATTATTGCGACCGAGACGTTTGCGTAGCTCTCTGATTGGTCGGTGAATTTGGAGCTGGCCAATCAGAGGCCTTGTATGGTTTCACACTTAAAGTAATCGAAACGAGACTGCGTTTGGCACTGATTGGCTGGCTCTAAGTAACCAAGCAATACGGTATTTGACAACTAATCAAATTCAATACTTTTTTCGAACTGCCAAAAACGACAGTTTTCAATGAATTTTGTACGACATTGTGTTTTGTGACGTCGCGTTTTTTTAACGTCAAACAGCATACTTATTTCTTAAAATTTTGTTGGAAAAATACTAAAATTAAGTTGGTCATAAAATCAATTAATGAAAGTGTGTTTGTTTTTTAATATTTTGTTGTATTGAACAGTCGAAATAATTTATTTTTGATTAAGCAAAGTACTCATTTGCAAGTTGTACTCAAGTCTCTGGTGTTGCCATCAGCGCGTTTGCGTCCGTAAAAAAATAACATACAAATTATTATAATTTATATATTATTTGCATTTATTTTTCAGTTTTATTACAACAATTGGCCGTTATAAATCCAAAATTCCAAATTCCTTGTGTTTTTCATTGTTTTTTTAGAGGTTTTTAGCGATTTCTTTGGTTTAAAACATCAGCGAGTTTGGTTGTTGTTGGTATACATATTTTGTTGTTCATTTGCGCTATGAATATATTATTATACAAACTAGAAAGTAATTTTATTGTAATGGGGATAATGAAAACGAATGACAAAAAAAATCTATTCAGCTACTCTAGCCAAATACCATTTAGCGCTTGTCTACATGTAGAATAGAAAACCAAATTATATGGAATTGACGTAAATTTTGACACTTGTCAGTGTCATCCTCATACATTTTGATTTCTACTCTCTCAGTAGACAAGCGCTAAAGTGGCGTTTGGCTAAAGGCACAGGGCTTTAGCTAGATTACAAAGTAATATTATTTTTAATGACATAATTTTGTTTCATCATCCCTATTTCAATTTGAGGGAAAAATGTCAATTTTATTGTTGTGTTTTTTTATTAATGGAAAATATTTTTCGATATGACTTGTGTAGTTCTTTTCTTTTCAGTGTCAGATTTTTTTAAGCATCTGATACTTTAGCACCGTCTGATTATTTGATCATTTTTGATGAAATGTACCTAGATAGCATTAAAATATTTTCCACTAATATGTTAAAATATTTTTTTAAACCAATTCCCTCATAACATAATCTCAAAACGAAATACGTACTTAAATAAATCAATGTATTTGACCTTTCATGTAATTCCAGGTGGTGGACAAAACCTGCCACTCTCCGACCGCCATGTTGGAACAGCACATGATGTGGGATGACATTGCTATACTCGCGAGGTATTTGGTAAGTAGATATGATACTCCGTGTCAAACTATTTATTATGTCAAAGTCAAAGTCAAAATCATTTATTTCAATTAAACCAGGATGGCACTTTTGAACGTCAAACAACAAAAATTTATAAGTGAAGCTAGTTGCTCATTCCAAGGCGTAGATTCCTATGGAGAAGAACGAGCAAGAAACTCCATAGGTTACTCTTTTTCAATCAGGTTTACAATACAATTCTCTAGTTACATAGTTTTATTGGTTCGATTATGTGAGAACAATGCAACACCTAAATCCAGTCAGAAAGACTGAAAAAGAAAATAACCTTGAGGATAATAAAATAAAAAGATACAGTCTGGAGCTGACCAGTTCCAATCGACGGTGCCCGTTACGAACATTTTGCGAACCCTAGCACCGCCCAACTCAACCATTTTGTAGGGAATCGAGCGATCCAATGCACGTGCCACCGCCAACGAGATCTTTGAGTGAGCATGACAACTCCAAGCTGACATAAATGCAATTGGCTCACACCCTATTACATGGGACTCATAAAATAGTGAAAAGTAGGTGTTACTTCTGTGTGCATCTCTGCCTAGCCCTTCGGGGATAAAAGGCGTTACTAATATCTAGAGCTAAAATAAAAAAACGGCAAATTGCATACAAGACAGTATTTACAGATAGTGGGAAAGAACCCGGGTGTCTTCAAAGCCCGAGTGAATAGGTTGCTTATGGGACGACGTGCTCCATCGTAGACCGCATCATCGCTTACCACCGGCGAGATAGTGGTCAAAAGTCGGTCGGCCTATCTTTTATATATATAATTCTTCTGTGAGTGTGTATGTCACTGAACTTCTCTCAAACGACTGTACCGATTTTGATGAAAGTTTTTGTGTGTGTTCAAGGGGATCTGGGAATGGTTTAGATTCACAAATCAGCCCGGCAGATGGCGCTGCAGTCGGTGTTTAGGTTATTTATCCTAAACAGCTGAACTAATTTGAATGAAGTTTTGTTTATACATTCAAGTGGATATGCAGGACAACGTCTGTTGGGTCCGCTAGTATATATATAAAAATACTTTCCAAATTATCAAATATAAAATCTTGTTATTTTTTTTTTTCAGCTAATGTTATCATTCAACAACTGCCTGGACGTGGCCCGCCACCTGCCCTACCTGTTTCATACAGTGACGTTCCTCGTGTGCTCGGGTACAGTCTCCATGCGAGCTGCCACCCATGGACTGGTCATCAACATCATACATTCCCTTTGTACTTGCACTACGCCAAGCTTTTCAGGTTAGTAAAAATTTTTAAGTTAAAATCGGGTACTTTCCGACAAGTAAATAAATAAATAATTTCATACACACGTCACATCCAGACCCAAAACGACTTTTTGCTCAAATAAATAGTTGTACCGCGCGGGAATCGAACCCGCGAAACGACAGACAGTAAGTTTTTTAAACGACTTGCATTTTAAAATAATTGGGTACTGCCAACTAGTCAAATTCAATACTTTTTTCGAACTGTCAAAAATGACAGTTTTCTATGAATTTTGTACGAGATTGTGTATTGTGTGACGTCACGTTTTTTACCGTCAAACAGCATACTTATTTCTTAAGAAATTGCTAGAAAAATACCAAAATTAAGTTGGTCATAAAATCAATTAACTCGTCGAGTACCGTATTTATAGACACAATTTTACGTACGAATGTGCCGGCTCGACCGGAGTGATACCACGGCCAAGCAGAAAACCATAGTGAAACAACTACAGCGTTGTGTGAGGGTAATGGAGGCCCAAACCCCCGCTTCCCCAATCCCCCTCTTCCTAAACCCCCCCCCCCCCCTCCCCCCTCCACAATGTCCCCCTTCCCCAATCTCCAATAAAAAATAAATAAAAATAAAGAATTCAGAGTCTAAATGTCTCTTGGAAATTTTGAGTCTTGAACATTTTAACCTTGAACTGTGACAAGTATGTTGCTGGCCTCAAATCATATTATTCTTTTCCAGAGGACACCCAACGCGTCCTAAGACTGTCCTTGGACGAGTTTGCCTTACCCAAGTTCTACCAGATGTTTGGCATATCGAAGGTCAAGTCGGCAGCCGTCACCGCGTTCCGCAGCCCTTACAACAGACATACTAATGATTGGTGAGTTATTTTATAGGTTATTCTTGACTTGTAATAATAATTATTTAAAAATGTGGTTAAAAAACGGACTTCAACCCCTTTTTTTTGAAGTCAGTTAATAGGGTAGATGACTAATTTTTAATTTAATGTCCGTCTGGTAGATTGTTTTAAAAATATTAGACACGTATTTTTATTTTTTTACGGAAACGAATAGTTTCGAAGATATATTGATTTGAAATGTCGCGTGACGTCACTTCTATGTACATTTTATACGTAGCTAGCCCCCACTCCTAAACTTTGATTCGTTATATCTAAGTATCATTTTATTATACAACAAAATAAAAAAAAATACGTGTCAAATATTTTCTGATGATTTCTATTGATTTATTTTGAAATCAGTTAAAAATAAGTCCCCCTTTCGTGTCTGTCTGTATAAAGGCGAAAAATATGGGATGGTTTTTTATATGGTCTTTACTGTTCCTATAGTGTGATTCCTAGGGACATTTGAAATGTATATTTTTTATAATTTTGTCTACGTAGGTATAGCCGTAGTAAGAAAGTAAGGTCTTATACTACTTAAATGGACAAAGCTACTCGACTATAGTCAGAATTTTAATTAGATTCCAGATTTGACAATAGCTACTGTCATTTTGTAAAATAATGATACCACATTTAATAGTGTAGTGATGCACACAAAAATCGATAAACAATCAGTGTGCGTGTTTTATAATAAATGTTACAGAAAGTGACAGGATAGCGATAGCGATGACGGCGACAATTTATAAAATAACTTATTACCATAATACATCTATCTGTTTTATTTGTCATGTTCCTTCATGATTACATTTTTTTATTTATTTCACACATAATAATTAATCGTCAAAACTAAATTATCGGTTCAGAAATGTTTAATTTCCTGATGTACTTAGTTTACGAGAGTAAAATTATAAACGAGAAGAATCGATCCAGAAATATTGCATTCCATATCGAATAATTTCGCAACGTCACTATTTAGTACTTGTCATAACGTTGCAACACTGAAATTGTCAAATCTGGAATCGAATTAAAATTCCGAGTATAGTTTCAAGCCACGCTAGGAGCTCATAATCCAAAACAGCGTGCGCGACAACAAACGCGGCACAACTTACTGAATAATTAATCGAGTTACATTTTTGAAGCCACCTTTTTCACCTAGAAATAGCCGTTAATTTTCTATATATAAAAGAAAGTCGTGTTAGTCACATCATTTATAACTCAAGAACGGCTGAATTGATTTAGATGAAAATTGGTGGGGAGGCAGCTTAGAACCAGGATACGGACACAGGATACATTTTATACAATACCTTTTTACCGAAAACCACGAACGGGAACGAAAAACGAAATTGCGGGTACGAAGTCGCGGGCTGAAGGTAGTGAGTAATAAAATAAAACTCTCCCTCAGGTACTCCGAGCACTCGTACGCAACATGCTCAGAATCCACCAGCACGGGTACCTGCGCAGGCGCAACACACACAGACCGCGAACGACTGCCTCTACAATCACTAGAAATCATCACTGATGCTCTATTGGAAATTATGGAGGCTTGCATGCGGGACATACCAGATTGTGATTGGCTTCAGACTTGGTGAGTTTGTGTAATATACAGAGTAGTCACTACTTGGTTAATCGATTAGTTTCAAGACATGGTAGGAGCCCATAGTAAAGAGCTCAATAAATGTTAAGGCAAACGCCGCGCAAGCGAGTTAGGCTAAGGACCGAGTTAGGTTAAGGACGCCGCGATATTCTACCGCGCTCGCCGCGGTGGCGGAATGGAGGGAGAATTTTCAAAACCCACGAGACCGCAGGTTTATGCGGTGCCACAGCCGCCACAGTTACGATTATCGCCCGTACACTTGGTAGTTGATTATCGCAAAACGGGCGGGCGGTTACGCCTTTGACTGCCTACAGAAAATTGTTGAAGGTAAATCCTCCGCTATGTCGCGGAGAACCTAACGGGTAACCGGGGCTCCGGCTCGACGTGCAGGAGAAGGAACGGGGTGGTTTTTAGTCAGTAAGAATCTGACACTCCCTCCCGCCTCACTCAGGCGGGAGCAGTTATTCGATGATATTCCCCCCTTAAAAAAAATTCTCCGCTATCGTGGCCCATACCTTGTCCCCCATGGCATTCAAGGTGTTAAACTATCAGTTGAGTTCTAGACCAGCTGTCCCATTGCGATCGCCTACCGATCGCAGAGCGCGCGGCGCCACGGCAGCGGGACTGCAGTTTGTGCAGGCCGCAAACAATCGTTACCATCGTGTGAAACGCGCCTGGAAAATTACTTTGTTTTTTTACCAAAGGTCAAAAGTCCACTGCCTAGTAAGACTACTATCGGTTGCGCTGCAGCGCTTATACACACATGCACACGCATATTTTTATCCGTGTGCGTACGCGTGCGTGTGTTTATGCGTACGCACGTGTTTTTATGCACATTAATATGATATTACTTACGCATTGCCGTGTTAACATCACTCACGGTGGCAGTGGACTTTTGACCTATGACTGTATGGATATATCAGTATTGTTCAAAGGCTGCGGACCCGCAACCGCGGCAGGAGATTATCTTATGTTACACATCGTAATGAGTAACGATTGTCCACAGGACGTCCCTGGCCAAAAGTTTTGCGTTTTGCTTCAACCCAGCTCTACAACCGAGAGCTTTGATAGTCTTCGGATGTATTAGTAAGTTTATATTTATCATTATTTACTTTATATTGTTAAATATTACTTTATATTGTTAATACTTTTTATATTTATTATATTGATACGTATACCATTGTTGTATCTGCATACTTATTGCATATATATGTGTATATGTGTGTGTATGTGTGTGTGTGGTGGGTGTGTAGATGCATCAATATATATGTATATATATATTTTTTTTGTCCTTGTCTAACCATACAACGTTGCTACCATCCGTGCGTCACTGCATGGGTGCCCACTGAAAATCAGTGCTGGGTAACCTGTATGCCTGGCTTACACTGAGTGGCGACCCTTTAGCATAGGCATGTTGTCAGCGTCTCCTTTCTAATTCTTCTGTTTAAAATTTTTTCAACTCTTATATTTTTATTACTTCCACTGTCACATCTTGATTGTCTTTTTTTATTTTTTATTTATGCTGCATCGTGCCTGGTGCTAAATAAATGTTTTTTCTTTCTTTCTTTCAAATATTGTCAACAAAAATATACAGAAAATATTAAAATCTTAATAAAATTAAACCCTTTATGCACTTTCCTTTTTAAATAACAATAAAAGGGTAGATGACTCATTTTTATTTTAATGACGATATATTGTTTGAAATGTCGCGTGACGTCACTTCTATGTACATTTTATACGTAGAAATGACGTTTTAGCGCCCACTCCTAAACTTTAATTCGTTTTATCTAAGTATCATTTTATTATACGACAAAATACGCGTCTAATATTTTTTCATTTTTTTTTTTTATAATTGATGGGGCGACGTTTGACCACTATCTCACCTGATGGTAAGCGATGATGCGGTCTACGTTGGAGCACGTCGTCCCATAAGCAACCTATTCACTCGGGCCTTGAAGACTCCCAGGTTATACCCTTCAGGAAATACAGACTCTGGCAAAGAATTCCACTCTTTAGCAGTACGCACAAGGAAGCTTGAAGCGAAGCGCTTCGTACGTGTGGGCGGAACATCTACCATGAATCGGTGACGCTTCGCGGATTGTCTTGTGGTACGATGATGGAAAGGACTAGGGGGAATCAAGTTGTGCAATTCCCCCGCACACTCCCCGAAATGTATCCGGTAGAAAACCGAAAGGCTTGCAACCTTACGCCTGTGTTCGAGGCTTTGAAGCCGAGCCTTCACAAGCGCATCATAGTCGATGAGCCTCCTGGCATGCCTCTCAATGTGCTCTAACGCGTCCAGCTGATATTTAGCCGAGCCGTCCCAAAGATGAGAGCAGTACTCCATACAGGACCGAACCTGTGCTTGGTACAGGCTCAGCAATTGTTCGGCGTGAAGTACCGTCTCACCCTCCAAGGACACCCAACTTCCTACCAGCCAGTTGCGCTTTTGACTCTATATAGGAGCCAAAGTTGAGCGTGGGCGTCAGAGTTACACCAAGAAGCTCAAGACGATCGGTTATCGGTACGGATACATTCCGGAAAGTAGGAGTCAGCGGAAATTGACTCCGTTTGGCGGAGAATAGACACGCCTGGGTCTTGCTAGCATTGAACCTAACCAAGTTGGCGTCACCCCAGTCGGACACCGCCTTCAAGGTCGAGTTCAAACGTTCGACCATGGATTCTCTTAAAGACTGGATCTGTGTTCCGCTAGTCCGCGCACCGGACACATACCTTTCAACAACTGTGCTGTCATCTGCATACCCAAAGATACCGGGCTTAAGCAGGTCGTTTATGTGCAGCAAAAAGAGCGTCGCTGAAAGTACTGACCCCTGAGGGACGCCGGCATTAATACCGAATTGGTCAGACGAGCAGCCATCGATGACTACTCGTATTGACCGATCCCTCAGAAAGTCTGCTATCCATCTGCACAGACCAGTAGGAAGTCCATATGCAGGAAGCTTGCCGATTAGACTGTCGTGCCATACCCTGTCAAAGGCCTTCGAAATATCGAGGGAGACTGCTAGTGCCTCTCCGTGCCCCTCTATGGCCTCGCTCCATATGTGAGTGGCATACGCAAGAAGGTCCCCAGTCGATCGGTTACGTCGAAACCCGTATTGCCGATCGCTGAGGAGATCGTTACCTTCAAGGTATGCCAGGAGTCTATTGTTAAGAACACGTTCCATGCTCTTGCAGAGTATGGACGTGACCGAAATAGGGCGGTAATTGTTAGGGTCGGCACGACTACCTTTTTTAGGCACAGGCTGTACGTTGGCCAGCTTCCAAGCAACCGGTACTAGACCCGTCTCTAAGGAAAGGCGAAACAGACGTGTCAAGATTGGAGACAACTCAGGCGCACAGGTTTTTAAAACCAGGGCTGGGATTCCGTCGGGACCACTGGCCTTGTTCACGTCCAGATCGCGTAGCGTCCTATATACCTCCCTCTGTCGAATGCGAATTTGCGACATATTCGTCTTGCATACGCTATTAACAGAAGGAGGCAAGGCGCCACCAGTGTCAAGACGCGAAGACTCCGCAAATAGAGAAGCAAATAGATTCGCTTTCTCTACCGCAGTGTGAGCCAGCGTCCGTCAGACCTCAGGAGCGGAGGAAGTGAGGAGCGACAGAAGTTCGATTCAACCGCCTTGGCCAGGGACCAAAAAGCTTTACTTCCCGCTGGGTAGGAAGCTAGTTTGTTCCCTATACGGCCAATGTGGTTAAATCGAGCCATCCGTAATGCCTTTTTGCATGACTTGGCAGCCCGATTAAAGGCTCTCTTCTTTTGATGAATGTCATCAGCCCTACGGCGCCTGGCATCCGCCCATGCCAAGTATGCCGCCTGCTTTTGCGCTTCGGCACGTCCGCAGTCGGCATCGAACCAAGGACGGGTCCCACCAGAGGATGCCACGTCCGAGAATGGAATGTAGTATTCCATGCCCTGGCGCAGCACCCCCGTTACGGCTTCCGCACAAGCTGACGGGTCATCAGAAGAGAAGCAGACAGGCCGCCAAGGATAGGAAGCGAAAAAAGATCGCATCCCATCCCAGTCCGCTGACTTGTATCGCCACATCCGCCGAGGTCCTCTGGGACTCGGATCTGGTGGGGAGTGTGTCGATACAGATTTCACCAGACAGTGGTCAGAGCTACCTAGAGGTGATGAGACTGTCACCGAGTAGCGGTCTGGATCAGTTGTCAGCAGAAGGTCTAAGCAATTGGCAGTGTGCGTATCGACATCGGGCACCCTTGTGGCTTCCTGGACCAGCTGGGTCAGGCCAAGCGAAAGCGCAAGCTTACGCATTTCCCTTCCAGCATGGTCGGTGCACTGGTATGGGAATAACCACTCCTGATGATGAGCGTTAAAGTCCCCCAGTAACACCAACTGGGCCGAAGGGTACGCCTGACGAGCCGCATCCGCCGCTTCGCCGAGGTATTGCGCTAATCTGGTCGCCTCCAAATCTCCGCTGTGCGACCGATAGACACAGGCATAAAGAATTTTCTCCATGCCTATGTCCACCAGTATCCAGAGAGCAGAAAAGCTTGGGTCTTCTAGGTTTCGGAGACGCCGGTAACAGATGCCGTCTCGGACGTATACGCATACACCTGCATGCGGAACAAAATTGTGCTCCAGGGAAAAACCAGGGTAGTTCAGGTGCGCCGTGCCTCGGATCCCGCTACCCTCCGCGACTGGACACCCGGTGTAGCTACACCAGCGCGCGTCAGACCGGCTATCCTACAGTGGAATAACCATCTCGACCCATCCTCTCATACGGCGTCACCGAGCATCGTGGCGGAACACGGCTGGGCCGCTTGGCGACACGCTTTTGCTCGATGGGTGGTCATAAAGCCGGCGGCCGAAGCCTACCACCAAAGTGTCACCTGGTTAGCACCACCCAGAGGCCACGTGTAGGGATATTGATTTTGGGGTGCTCTCCTACGGACGAGGGTGACTCAGCCTCCGAAATTACCTAACTGACGGACTAATTAGATTTTTAATTTTCATACCCTTATATCATCCCTATTATAAGACACCCCTACCTAGATCAAAAAACATAATCTTACATCCAATTTTATTTATTTTTAGGTAAAAACGTAACAGATGATGATATGAAACAGCTACTCCGTATACTAGTGAAGGCGCTGGAGTCGTTCAATGACCTCGCGTTACTGGAGGCTCTGATTATGGCACTCACTAGGCTACAACCGCTGCTGTACCCGGTAAGTACTTAGGTTAATGATATCCCGAGCGTACGGCGCGTCGGCAGACCGGGAGTTATAAATCTTGAGCAATGTGCACGGTGTGCAATGCGTATCTAACTCTTAGTTATTTTAACGCGCGATAAAAAGGCATTCAAATAGAACAAATTCATCAGCTAATATATGATCATACTTCCAGCGCTTTAAAAACGCGATGCTTTTATCGAGAAGTGTTCCAATTTCAACACTAGGCTTTATGCATTAAACACTAAATTGCAACCCCAGCGCCGAATTTTAACTTAAATTTACTTTCAATAATAATTGATTACTTTCATTCTAATGTAGACAATCTAATTTCCTTATGTCATCGAGCATTTCTTTCTTTATTGAAACAAAGAGTTTCCTTTTTCTTGTATAGAAGCACTCTTTTTATAGATTGTCAGTATGCGTATGTTAGCACCATGTAAGACTATTACATTTTTTTATTTTAGTAAGGTTTGTAATTAGTACCTATAATGCGTCAAGCGTGTCTTTGCATTGTTCTCACATATGCGTACAGTATTGGAATATGTATCAGAGACATTGTAGAACATACTTTTTTAAAAATAGTAACGAATGTTGTTTCTTGCTCGTTCTTCTCCTTTCGAATCTACATTTTGGAATGAGCCTAGCTTCCCCTAGCTTCCCCTAGTTTCACTGACGGACTGACTGACAGACTATTATTTATTTTGTACTTGTTGACGTTTCAAAAGTATCAAATTATGGTTTAGTTGAAATAAATGCTTTGACTTTGACTTTGAAAAACTTCAAAGAATTTCGTTTTAAAACATGCTTTATATATTAAATAGGCGTCACCAATTCACAAGGCTCTATTCTGGGTGGCACTGTCAGTGCTGCAACTGGACGAGCCGACACTATACGCCGCCGGACTTGCCTTCATGGAACAAAATCTACACACACTGGAGTCTCAGGGTCAATTCCAGAGTAAGGTAAGGTATTTGTAGATGTTTGGATAGATTTGTATCACTGTATATATGTATTTTTGACTGCCTCGTTGGCCGAGTGGTCGCAAGTGCGACTCGGACGAGGGCTCTCGGGTTCGATTCCCAAGTCGGGCAAAGTATTACTGGGTTTTTAACATAATATTCTCAGTAGTAGCACGGAGTCTGAAATTGTGCTCGGTATATGCCAATAGGCTCACCCCCTATTACATGGAACTCATGCCATAAATAGTGAAAAGTGGGTGTTACATTATACAGTGGCATAATGTGCACCTCTGCCAACCCCTTCTGTCTAATAAACGATATTGTCTCATTTTAGAAGTGCTATATGCCACGAAATAGATCTTTTGTTAATAGCCACTCTCAGACACACTTGTTAAACAACATGTAGGTCCGTATATAGAACGACACTCAACTCAAGATCTTTCCTCAAGTACAGTTAAAAAAGGATCCAAATACATTCAACAGATACGTGCATCCTTTTCCAACTATCTTAGAACCGAGATCTCACCTTGAGTAGAGATCTCCGCTTGAGTAGAGATCTCCGCCTGAGTAGAGATCTCCGCTTGAGTAGAGATCTCCGCTTGAGTAGAGATCTCCGCCTGAGTAGAGATCTCCGCTTGAGTAGAGATCTCCGCCTGAGTAGAGATCTCCGCTTGAGTAGAGATCTCCGCTTTAATAGAGATCTCCGCTTGAGTAGAGATCTCCGCTTGAGTAGAGAACTCCGCTTGAGTAAAGATTTTCTGAGTAGATATCTCCGCTTGAGTAGAGATCTCCGCTTGAGTATCATTTATAATACTTACTTAACTATAAATCTTCAACTTAGTGTCTCTTGTTCCTAGTCGCTGGAACAGGTGATGATGGAAACCAGAGAACCTCTGGAGTGGCACTTCAAGCAGATGGACCATGCTGTGGGACTCAGGTAAGGAACAAAAACAAGGAAAATGAAAAGTAACCGATTGGATCCAAAATTTGAAATTAATAAACGAGTACAATACAAAATTTGAATACTGAAACGCTACTCAATTTTAAGTCGTGGTTAAAATATAGTTGTATCATATCTAAGTGTGGGACAGCTATGCTTCGGCACGAATGGGCCGGCTCGACCGGAGTGATACCACGGCCTCACAGAAAACCAACATGAAGCAACACTTGCGTTGTGTTTCGTCGTGTGAGTGAGGTTTCCAGAGGCCCAATTACCCCCCTCCCTAATCCCCGTCTCCCGAATCCCTGAATCCTCCACAATCCTCAAATTCCCAATTCCCAAAAGGCCGGTAACGCACTTGTAACGCCTTGGTGTTTCGAGTGTCTATGGGCGGCGCCGATTGCTTACCATCAGGTGATCCGTTTGCTCGATTACCGGCTTATGCTATAAAAAAAATCTACAAATTCTTTGTAAAACGACAGAGATGGCACGATATTTGAGCACGACTTAAAATTTAGTAACGTTTCAGTATTCCGGCATAAGCTATTTTAATCGAAAATCTGTAGATTGATCTAGTTTTTGAGAGAAACTCCAAAAATATCTAAGCATAATATAATATGGCTTCTCATCGGCCGAGTGGTCGCAACTCGCAAGTGCGACTGCCAAGCAAGGGGTCTCGGGTTCGATTCCCGGGTCGGGCAAAGTATTACTTGTTTTTTTATAAATTCTCAGTAGTAGCACGGAGTCTGGAATTGTGCCGGGTGTAGGGCAATCGGCTCACCCTCTATTACATGGGACTCATAACATAGTGAAAAGTGGGTGTTACATTGTACAGTGTCATAATGAGCACCTCTGGGTAGGCCCCGCCGGGGATAAAAAACACATTGATTAAAAGTTAACACTAAATGTTATGATTTACATACTACTGATGAACTACATTCATATAAACGTATACCGTCGTGGTGGCCCGGAGGTTTAAGACGCCCGCTTCTCATGCATTACCAACGGCAGGTACCAATGTGACTTTTTCCGAGTTATATGTACTTTCTAAGATTATCTAGACACCACTGACAAACGGTGAAGGAAAACATCGTGAGGAAACCTGGGTTTATAATTTCTAATTATAAGTTTGTAAATCGCCAACCCGCATTCAGGAAGCGTAGTGATTAATGCTCAAACCTTCTCCGTGTGAGAAGAAGCTTTGCTCAGCAGTGGGCATTTATAGGCTGTTGATGTCATTCATATATAAAAGACTCATTCGACGTTAAGACTGCATGCCGCAGTAATTTTGTATGAACGTCCGTATAAGAAATAAAAAACGTCATAGTAACAACTCTTCATTACGAATAACAATCACTATGTTACCATGTTACCAATAGCATGATTTATCGTTATTTTATTGAGCATCGTCCTAATTTAAAATATAGTCCTAATAGGACGCGAATATGCGATCATTATAAGTTCGCGCAAATGTGTTAGTTGACAACTAGTCAAATTCATTACTTTTATCAAAATGTCAAAAACGATACTGTTCTATGAATTTTGTACATAGTAGGGGGAAGTCTCTTAATGCCGGACGGCACCTAACGCCGGACACTTGTATTATCTCGATAACTAATAACGCGAGCGATCAATTTTTAAGGGGAAGTCCCTAGTGACAGACAGCTAAGATTTTTAGTAAAAATGGAATCGTATTCGTACGAACGTGCGATGAAACATATTGATCTTGAACAGTTGTCAAAATTGAAAATCGCATGATGCGGTTGGGCGACTCAAATCTTCGTACATATCTATTCCCTAGAACACTAATGACACATATTAAAGTCGTGTTCTAACTGTAATTTGCGTGAAATGATTGGTAGTATCGGCCGTGCCCCTGCTCTAGTCTACTGTTGTTCGGTCGCTCGCGAATCTCTATTTCTTATCACTGCTAAGTGTGGTAGAGCCATGCTTTGGCACGAATGGGTTCGATCGAAATGATACCACGGCCTCACAGAAAACCGACGTGAAGCAACGCTTGCGTTGTGTTTCGTCGTGTGAGTGAGGTTACCGGAGGCCCAGTTACCCCCTCCGCTCCCACAATTTCCACAATTCCAACCCTCAAACTCCCAATCCCCAAAATCTCACAGAGGCGTTACAAGTGCGTTACCACTTGTAACGCCTCCAGGTGTTCCAGGTTTCCATGAGCGACGCCAATTGCTTACCATCAGGTGATCCGTCTGCTCGTTTACCGGCTTATGCCATAAAAAATTGAATAAAGTCAACGATTATGGAACCGTAGACTAGGATAGTCAGTTGTATGATCTATACTAACGCCTTTTCGCGCCAATTTCAATTAGGACACTTATTCGGGTTCAATATATTTGATCGCGGAATCGTACGAGTAAAATTCCCACGAACCTATGATGATCGTGTATTCGCGTCCTATTGAGTCGACATGCATATTGATATGATGTTCCTCTCCCCTCAGTTTCCGGTCGAACTTCCACTTCGCGCTGGTGGGCCACCTGATCAAAGGATACCGTCACCCTGCCGCCGCCACCGTGTCACGAACCTGCCGCGTCCTCGTCAAGCTTCTGGCACTCGTCGCCAGCCCCCAAACCCACCGCGACAAGTTCCACGTCACCCCACACACCGTCGCCTACCTCACTGGTCAGTCATTCACTCAATCAATTTGCTATCCGACCACCCAGAAAATCACCCACCAAACGGTACCCACTCACTCACTTGCTCAAACTCAATCACTCGCTCACTATTTCACTTACTCACCCAAAATTCCACTTACTCACTCACTCACTCACCCACCCACACAGACTCAACCACCCACCCTACTCATTCACACAACCACCCAACTTTAGTTTACACTGTGTATGCTTACGCGTTAACACCAATTTACTTGCTACACACAAAAAAAGGAATTAAGTACAAACGTCATAAAAACTCACTAAATAATAAAGTCCCTCTTTTCCCTCAGCGTTAGTGTGTGTGAGTGAGGAGGTCCGGTCTCGATGCCATGTAAAGCACTCCCTACCGAAGTGGCTTCCCGACAACTGCGACCACTACTGTCCTACCGCTGAGTTGCACCAGGTGAGTTAATCTATCCTTACTAATATTATAAATCGGAAAGTGAGTTTGTTTGTTTGTTTGTTCCACTTTTGCGCCGTAACTACTAAACCGATTGCTTTGAATTTTTGCAGACGTGAAGTTAGAAGTCTGGATTAAATAATAGGGTACTTTTTATCCCGGAAAAATTTGATATTCTCGAGGGAAAACGTAATTATTGGTATACATGGCGCTGTGTGTATTGGTATATGTCACATAGGCTACTTTTTATCCTTTTGTGACGCGAACGAAGGCGCGGGTAAAAACTACTTTTAAATAAAATACTTTTAATAGGCTGGACAATATCCATTGTAAGTTAGAATGTGATGAAGTCGAGTTCATAGTACCTGAAGGATTTTGGAGGAACTGTGTCTAGCAGCGGATTTTTTATGTATTGATGGGCCGAAGTTTGACCACTACTTCGCCTGGTGGTAAGCGATGAAGCGGTCTACGATGGAGCACGTCGTCTCATAAGCAACAGAACGCTGATGATAGTAGTAAAATCAACTGCTGAAGGTTATTTGACAATTCCCAAGCGTATTGTACCCGGTGCTCCGCAAAAGAAGCTCTGTATTACGTGAAACTTATAACATACATATAAACATAACCAGTGAAAACTGGTTGCTACTATATCAATATATGCCTCTGCAATGTGGAGTAATGAGGGAGACGTCTTGTTGACGTGATGTCGGAATACTCAATCGCTACTCAATTTTAAGTCGCGCTTAAGTATAGTTCTGTCTCTACAAATTATTTGTAAAATGACAGAGATGGCACGATATTTAAGCACGACTTAAAATTGAGTAACGTTTCAGTATTCCGGCCTGAGTGTCCTAATATCTATATATTTATTACACTACTTACTTATAGGTCGAGGTGTCACACACACTACACCTCTACCGCTTCTTCGGGGATCAAATGAGGCGAATACCTTCTCTTCCTCAACCAACTATGAACAATCTCATAATATGTTTTTATATTCGTATGTTGCAGTCGTCAATCCTGATCCAGCCGTCTTCGTCTCACAGTTCGTGTCACAGTCGCCGCCAGAAGTCCTGGGACGTACTCGACCAGGCCGCCATCTCCTCCGCACATGGAGGTGAGTAAAACTTCACAAATTATTTATTCACAGATTATCTAAAATAATTGGACTTTGTATTATAACTTTCGTGAGACATACTAAATGAATTATTATGTTTTCACATAATTACGTGATAAAGCCGAAAATATAATAATTCAATAATTGAAATCATAGTTAAATGTAAACATTTAAATGGGGGAATGATCATCGAATGACTGCTCCCGCCTGGGTGAGGCGGGAGGGAGTGTCAGACTCTTACTGACTAAAAACCACGCCGTTCCTACTCCTGCACTTCAAGCCGGAGCCCCGGTTACCCGTTAGGTTCTCCGCGACTCGTTATCGGCATCAGCCCTATTGGGCCCCATCCGTGGTGGTCTGATGTCAGATTGGTACTTGTCATGTACCTGCATATATAATAGGCCGGCTCGACCGGAGTGATACCACGGCCGAGAAGTAAACTGAGAGGAAACAACGCTGGCGTTGTGTTTCGTCGTTTGAGTGAAGTTACCGGAGGCCCAATTACCCCCCTCCCCAATCCTCCCAATTTCCGAATATCCAGTAATCCTCCAATTCCTAATCCTCAAACGGCCTGTAACGCGCTTATGTTTCGGGTGTCCATGGGCGACGCCGATTGCGTAGCATCAGGTGATCTGTAGGCTCGTTTACCGGCTTATTGCATTAAGAAAAATACAAAAGGTTGTCGATATAAAACCGTTAAATACCCATGTGTATGGTTTTATCATCTTAAGAAAATGGACCAACTTCTAATAATAATAATTTCTCAGGTAAATCCCCAACTTTACAATCTTCGAGCAGCGGAGGTCATAGTCCGCATCTCGTCACAGTCCCGCATCAGGTAATATCATATACAACTTCATATATTATATACTATATATCTTATATACAAGTATTATTTATTAACATAAGTAATTATGTGAAATTATTGCACCACTATACAAAACTAGTATTTAGGTAAATCATCCTAATATATTACAGAAGAAGTCTATCTATAGTTTTCTGTCCTATATTTAGGACAACAATATTTAAAAAGAAGTAATGAAGTTACCGATACGTATTTTTTGAGTGAGGCGTGTGATTGCACAGTGGAATATATTTGTAGACTCCGTGCTACTACTGAGATTTCAAAGAAAACCTAGTAATACTTTTCCCGACCCAGGAATCGAACCCTAGACTCCTTCCCTGGCAGTCGCACTTGCGACCACTCGGTCAATGAGGCAGTGAAATAAAATACGGGTTAACAGTATTGGAATATGTATCAGAGATATTGTAGAACATACTTTTTTAAAAAGAGTAAAGAATGGAGTTTCTTGCTCGTTCTTCTCCATTCGAATCTACATTTTGGAATGAGCACATAACTTCACCTAGCTTCACTGACGGTCTGACTGACAGACTATTATTTGTTTTATATTTGTTGACGTTTCAAAAGTACCAAGTTATGGTTTAATTGAAATAAATGCTTTGACTTTTGACTCTGACTTTGAGTACTAATTCCTTAGTAATAGTGGTGCAATAAGTTCAATAGAAATTGTTATGTCGGTGTTTAGTATAGGAATGGCAGGCAAAGATCTCATTTTATTATTTACATACAAACCACGTCTGATATGGGAATGTATTACACATCTCAAGTAGTACTCACATAGTTTATAAATTATGTAATACATGGTGACTTGTAAGAATAAGAATAAGTTTATTAAATAAATAAGTACGAAGTATGGTAATTACAGGTAATAATAATTATACAAAATAGTCCCACATACATCGCCTACTGTTTTCGGCATGCAAAGTTAAATTTTACAATTATTATAGCTAAAATGTTACAATTACAAAAATGCCTACAACTATGATAACATATATTATTATTATTATTATTTCTCCTAACATATTATTGATGTGCCTCCGGAAAACATACAGCATTGCTTTGAAGAAGCAGTCGTATACTTTCAGCTCCATCTATGATCGACGTTAGTAAACACGTGGTTTCACCTAAATGTAACTAGATGGCGTTAGGTTGCACCAGCAAGACGCGCCGGAGCGTTAGACTTCGAATGTCATAGCGTTGTGTACTTTCGCCGTGTTCGGTCGATATTACAACTTAAGTGTAAATCTTTGTGCAAAAGTACTTTGAATATAAAAATATTTTAAATAACCTTCTTAAGTGAGTCTAAACTCCTAAATTAACTAAAGCTTAAATTCGATATTTGCAATGAATATCGCGTCGGGTAACGACATCGAGGTCGAGGAGGCTTCCGTTGCCAACCGACCGGTCGTTTCGGGCTCGCCGGTGAACGAGAGGGACCCCGATCAAGAAGAGCAAGACACCTCTGAAGACAGCAGTTCATCAGAAAGCGAAGAGGAACCCCCTCGCAAAAAACGGAAGCGACAAACTGAGGTAACGGTCGATCCTCGGATCGACGCGTTATACAACCAGATATGTTTTCTTACCAACTTTATTATGCACCAACAATGTGTGCCTACTACGAGTGCAAACTCTAGTGAAAATGAGGATAAACTACCCGATAATACGAAAAACGATTTTTTGTGTAATCCGTCGACGCAAACGCCAAAATCTTTAGACCTAGGCCTTTGTAAGACTGTGTTTGACGAGAAAAAAGTGCTCAAACCCGCTAATGACAAATTATTACGTCAGTTAATAAACCTGCAACAATTTAATATGCCTGCGTGGCATCATATTCGTTACAAGAAGGCGTTGGCAGATTTAGTCGCTTTTCCAGGATTCTGTAATTTAAAAATTAACGATGAAATGTGTTGTTTGAGTAAAGGAAAAGATTTCTTAGCTTCAACAGAAGAAATTATGGCTGCCACCACCAATGCCTTATTGCAACAAAGAGAACTGTTACAGTCCGGCTTACAAGGGATAATTGATTGGGCACACGGCAATCCTACGGAATTAATACCCGATAATCTTTTTAACAAAATTACGGAGTCGTTTGGGACGACATCTCAGTCCTACAAATTATCTGAGCAGACGTTAAATAATTTGCGGCAAGAGGGCTGAGTGCATTGAAACCAGGCGCAAAAGACTAATTAACGAAATTTCCGATAAAAGTATTCAAGCTGCACTTAGTAACATACCCCCTAGTGAAGAATTTTTATTTGACAAACCGAAGCTTATGTCTTTGATCCAATCCCTCGGAGGGCCCCATTTTTGGATTTCACCACCAACAGCCACTAAATCTTTAGTTAAGGACCAAATTAAAAATAAATATAATAAAGACGCAATCCCTTCTACATCAAAATACAAATCACAACCACAGAACAAAAATTTTCGTGATACCCTCAAAAAGCAAACAAAACCATACAAAGGAAAAAGTGACGGTTACAAATCTAAAAATTCTTCCTTTCGAAACAAAGATAACAAAAAATGACTATGCAGTACCACAATTCAGGGGGGGTTGCCTAAAAATGTTCAGGAATCATTGGCAAGCATTGGGTGCCAACGATTTCATCATTTCTGCAATCTCAGGGTTTCGAATACCCTTTTACAAGAAACCTCCCTTGTTAATGCCTACGGAAAAATTTTAACGCAATATGCAACCAAACCATCACCGGAAATGTCTTTGATTATAAAAGACCTTGTAAATCAAGGTGTACTGATACCGGTTACCACAAAAACACCGAGTTTCGTTTCCAAGCTTTTTCTTCGGAAGAAAAGCGACGGAACGATGCGTCCTATATTCGATCTTCGAGAACTGAACGAATTTGTAAAGACAAAACACTTTCGTCTGATTTCTCATGCTTCAATACCAGATTTCCTTCAACCTGGGGATTGGATGACAAAAATAGACATCTCTCAGGCGTATTTTCACCTACCAGTTGCAAAATCCCACCGTCCATTTTTAAGGATCAGTTACAAAGATCATTTGTACGAAATGTCATGCCTACCGTTTGGTCTGGCCTCAGCGCCTCACCTTTTTTCGGCCGTAACATGCTGGGTCGCGGAGACCTTGCGTGCAAAGGGATGTCGGGTTCTAGTCTATCTAGACGACTTCCTTTTGGTCCATCAGGACCAATCCAAGTTATGTCATCAGGCTGCGGAAGCCGTGAGGCACTTGGAACAACTGGGCTGGCAGATCAATCACCAAAAGTCAATTTTGACACCAACACAGGATCTGGAATATCTGGGCATTCGGTGGCAGACCGCCGAGAATATGTCACTGCCAATAAAAAGAATTCAAAACTTAAACAATGCGCTCAGTCGATTGTTAAACAGAGACCACATCAGTCTTCGAGAGTTACAGTGCCTACTAGGTCAACTGAATTTTGCGAATTTCGTAATACCACGGGTCGACTACATTGCCGAAAAATGCAGATTTTTCTGCGACATTTCGACAAGAAACGACCGCGCCAGAAACAGCCCATTCCTCGAATGGTATACCAGAATATGACGTGGTGGCGCGGAGCTACACGCCACAGTATGCCCATACACAAGGAGCCAGCTACCCATTTCCTGGCGACGGACGCTTCGGATTTGGGATGGGGAGCCCACATAGACGGAAAGTTATTATCAGGAGCATGGTCGCCCCAACAAACAAAATGGCACAGCAACAAAAAAGAGCTGTACGCTGTTTTGGCTGCAATCAAAGAAAATGCAAAGTTGTTGCAAAGAACTCACGTACTTGTCCTTTCGGACAACAGGACCTTGATTGCTTATATTCGGAAGGAAGGGGGGACCAGATCGTTAGCTTTACTAAACCTAACCTTCGAGCTCTTACACCTAATCGACAAGTTCAAGATAACCCTATCCGCACAGTACGTACCAGGGAGGTACAACATAATAGCAGACAGACTATCTCGCGGAAAACGTCCAGCAGAATGGCATCTTCTACCCCGAGCAACTGCGGAAGTTTTTCGGAGGTGGGGTCGACCGGAGATCGACCTATTTGCGTCACGAGAAACCGCTGTAGTACAAAATTATGTATCGATAGACTGCAGAGATCAATCGGCAAGTTATATAGATGCCTTCAGCAAAACATGGTGTTATCGACGGGCTTGGGTGTTCCCCCCACCAACCTTACTACCAAAAGTCCTAGCCCATCTCAACCAGGCCACGGGGATTTACCTGATTGTGGCACCAGAGTGGCCCCGGGCGTTCTGGCTTCAAGATCTGAAATCAAGAGCTTTGGACCATCCACTGGTGCTTCAGAATCTAGCAGAGAACATGATAGATTTCGCGACATTACAACCTCCCCCACAGGCTCAGACATTAACCCTGAAAGTTTGGAAAATTGGGGGTGGGGTGCACACATAAAGGAATGGTCGCTACAAGAAAAAGACCTTTTGAAGAAAAGCTGGAGACCCTCTACACTGTCCACATACATTCCAGCGCTCAAAAGATGGCTTTCATGGTGTTCTACGCGACAAGTAGACCCAAAATCTCCACAATCAGCTGATGTTGCAAAATTTTTAATGTATCTCTTCTTAAAAGAAAACTTATCCTATAGCACGATTCTTGTACACAAATCAGCAGTTTTAACTTTCTGTGGACCTCACGTAGAGCAACAACCTTTATCTAATTTCATTATAAAACATACCCTTAAAGCAATAGGAGTAGCTAAACCTAAAGTTACTAAACCATCGTCTACATGGGATCCACAAATAGTATTGGACTGGCTTTCATTAACCCTCCTAAAGACAATTTATTTGATTTAGCTCGCAAAACGGCTACTGTTTTATTATTAGCTTCGGGACGAAGAGTCCATGATTTAACTTTACTTAAAATTTCAAATAATCATTTCTTTGATAATGGTGAAGAATTGTATTTAATACCAGATTTTGGTTCTAAAACTGATACACATAATTATCGTCAATCTGCAT